TGAAGATTGACTTCAAAATTTTTTGTTTGCAGATGAAAATCTAAATTCATTGCTAATAAGATTCTAAATATAAAAGTTTGTGTTGGCTTTTGCCGTACAATCATAAAACTATTTGGTAAGTTTCTAATTTGTCGTATGTCGTCTCTTGTTCGAGGTCTTCGTCCAATTCCGGGTAGTTCTATTATTGTTCGGAATATCGGCTCTGATCTATTGAGTCGTAGAGACATTTCGATTAAATTATAATCGTATAACATTTTGAAAATGTTTGTCTAAATTCTAATCTATTTTTGGTTAGTTCTAAGCTATTAAGGTCTTATTCGAGACTTATGGTCGCACCAGATGAGTTATGACCGATGTGGTTAACTCATAGAGTAATTTCGGATAGGGTACACCGTCTGCTCGTCACGCTATCTTATTTTCGGCCGGATAGATTCGTGCAACTTCTTAGTCTATTACCGATCCTAATCTTACTCTTATACTTTCTAGTCTCAGGGTGTTTAACTAGTCTCTGATAGGCTCAATAGATCTAGGGTATACTGGTTTGTTGCGGCTGCTGAAGTTCTCTTGGAGAGGCAACTAATTTCTAAGTTAAATTCAAATCTCTCTGGTGCTGAAGTTACAAGTAATTTCAGCACTTACAAATAAGTGGGTTGTTAGTTAGATGGATTATGATTGGTTAGTATTAAATACTTTACAGTGGTAAAATATCCAATTTATCCAATCATAAAATATAGTTTAGATCAGGTTCCAGTAGTCAGCTCAGCTATCTCTGACCAATTGAAGCCTTTCGACTTTCAGGAAAGTGACACAAATATTGTGCTCCGTATGTTTTTTTTCAGAGACAGTTCGACTGTTCAACTAACACTGCTACGCGGAGTTTGTTGTACCATTTGAAAAAAGACATGGAAGTACAGAGCTAAGAAAAATTTTAATATATTTTTTTGCAAACTTATATAGGTTTAATAATGACTTTGCTTTAGTTGATGCAAGCTCATCTGGCTCAGAAATAACTCCAAATCGAATTAAAGCAAACTAATTGGTCTAAGTAGAACGTTTTCCCAATTTCAATTAAACCATTTTGTACTTTTCGTTCCGACTGCCTTTCAAGATCTATCAAGCAGTGTTTGCTTTAAAAAAATGATGGTTTTTTCAGTAAAAAAAATCATATTCTTCAAAAATCATCTCCCACACGCCATAATAAGTGCAAAGCGATTGTTTTCGCTCCTACTAATGTAGCAATTACGACAAATAGCCTATTTCATTGAATTTGTAACTATTTTTAAAAGCGTTCAAGTCCTCTAGTACGCGTTAATAGCGCGAAATATATTACGCTATAATTAACTCAAATTGGCTTTATTGGCAATTTTTAAACCCTCATAACTTTGGGAAAAAAGATCAAAAGTAAAATATCTGTTTGATTTTGAGCTCAGAAGAACAACACGTTTCAGCCGATATAGAAAGAACTCCATCAAAATTTCTAGTTAAAAAACTGAAATTTGTCTGGAGAAAAAAACCACCAGAGCACAATTATTACGTCACTTTCTTCAAAAGGTGGGAACAAAGACTATAGTGCTCATTCAAATTAGCTGAACAAGCAATAGAAATGGAAACTCTAAATGCGTTTCTAGTAAATTAAGTTGACATTAAGTAAAAAGAGAGATGAGTTTTACCAAATTCAATATGATACAAGAATTTGCTTGCAAAAAATAGGGCCAAATTTTACCACAGAAATGCGTCATTTTTGTCTGCACTTTGTCAACCTGAAATCTGCTAAAAATTAAATTTTGAGCAAATTTTACTTGCTCAGCGATTAATCTGGCAGTACTAGCGTACTTATTTTTGACCAAACAGAGTCACAATTGCCAGAAAAAATGCGAGATATGAGCTAGAAAATTTCTGAAATCGAGTTTTCATGATCGTTATGTTGTTTCAAACAAATGATTTGTTTCGATTCATTTGAAGGAAAAAAATGCATCTAATGTGTAAACTTATTACTATGCAAATTTCAAAGCACATGCTATGAAAAAGCTGTTAAGATGCCCCAAAAAGGTTACCAATATTTGCTACTTAGGTTGAAAACAAAGAAGGCTCGTACTAATACACTCGCTGCGCAAGTGTAATTAAGAGTCTTCAATTTGGTGAATATTGTGATTTAGGTCTTGGAGTACTTTTCGTTTTTTTCAGCAAAAAGTTCAAGACATTTCACGCTCAGTTTTGACTTTGAAGTTCAAAAGGAACGCAAACTCGAGTATCGAAGAGCAAAAGGTCCGAAAAAACGTGATTGACTTTTAGTTATGAGAGTGGATGTTAATTTGCAGGTTTACTAGCGGAATGAATTATTTAACCATTGATCTAGTTTTCCCAAATTGAGTTAACTTCCTTAAATTGAGTCAACCCTATTTTGTTTATAAAAATCAGAGCTTTAAGGTCTTTTTTCTTTGAAAGTCGAAATGAATTGTAAATAGTGAAAATGCCAAAATTGAAAATTTTCAGAATTGTAATTAGTTTCGATTTTTTTTACTTGCAAAATTAATTGTACTTGTAATCGGGAGCTAGATAGACTTTAAAGGCAACCCCGAACTGCACATTCATTCTAATTGGGAACAAGATTTTATTGCCCGTAACAAACTTTTATCAACATGCAAGAAACTGACCATGGCTATTATGAAATTGCAACATCTTTCAGAACTTTCCTCATTTGGTCTAGAGGTAAAGCATTCAGAAAATAAGAGTTGGGGTTTGAGTCTTAGCGTGGAAAGTGATTTCTGAAGACATATTTTGAATATCTTGAGAAAACATTCATTTTGGACATGAAGAAAATGGAAGATGACTTGAATTTGTTCACAAAAGATAAAATGGCCTGAACAAACATGACGTAATATCGACGGGTACGTGTTTAAATAGTCAGAAATACTGAAAGTGCTCGTAACAGGGCAAAGACGTAGTTTTCTGAATATACCTCAAGCTGTCGAAAAAAAATTATTTAGTTGGATCGACGAGCATCCATCAAATAAATAAATTGTGAAGGACGTTTGAGCAAATTCAATTCACCGCTTTTAGCTACGGGCTAAAAAATTTCATTTAAAATTTTTGTTAAATTTTGCTAGATAGATCAAAACTGTCTTCAATTTTCCTCGTTTATGCGTGGATCTTCGCACATGTGTAAAAATAATTATTTCTACCGTTTTGACAATACGTTTCAGAACAACAGGTATAGTTTTGGCCGATATAGAAAGAATTCCAACAAATTTTGTTGTTGAAAAGTTGAAATTTGTCTGGAGAGAAAACCACCAAAGCACAATTATTCCGTCACTTTCTTCAAAAGGTAGGAAGAAAAACTATAGTGCTGATTCAAATGAGCAGAACAAGCAAACGAAATTGAAACTCTAAACGCGTTTCTCCTAAAGTAATATGACTTTAAGTAAAAAGTGAATTGATTTTTACCAAATTCAATATGATACAAAAATTTGCAAAAAATAGGGCCAAGTTTTACCACAGAAATGCGTCCATTTTTGTCTGCACTCTGTCAACCTAAAGTCTGCTAAAATCATTGGATTAAAAATTGAGCAAGTGTTACTTGCTCAGCGATTGATCTGACCGCAAAACCGTACTTCTTTTTGACCAAATGAAGTCAAAAGTGCCAGAAAAAATTTATGAAAAAAAAAATTTTGGCCTGAATTTTGCAAAACAAATTGCATCATTTCGGTTTTGATAAACCTATCAGCACATTTTGTCCATATCCCTGAAACGAGCTATCTGTTTTTTGTCTCTACAACATAAAAGCGATTAATCGCAGAAAATTTTCAAGGAAAAGTATTGAGATAAAAGCCAAGTTCGGGTTGACCAAAACTTCTCATCATACAATTTTATATGTGAAAAACTTCTTAACATACAATTCCATACAATGCCATAAGCACAGAAAATTGTATGAAATCTCTATGAAAATTGAATGATAAACATTTTTTCATGAACCAAAAATTTGATTTTTTTCCAAATTTAATTTCTGAAAAATTTTCATAAATGAAAATTGAATGATAAACATTTTTTCATGAACCAAAAATTTGATTTTTTTCTAAATTTAGTTTCTGAAAAATTTTGGGTTGTGTTCGTACCGAACACAAGTGACAACGAGTTTGGTTTACTCAGAGCACCAAAGGTTGGACAATTTTGCATTTACAATGCATACAACATGACCTCAATTGACTTAATACTGTCTTTCACAAATGATTTAAGGAAAGTAACAAACTTTTAAAATTTGGCAAAAATTTTCAAAGATGATAATTTTCAAAGTTTGAATTTTTAATTATTCATGGAGGGATCTAGACATACCTAAACATGCCATTCAAAACAAGTAGGCGTTTTGAGCGTTTTTGAAAAAAGTAATCCAGAGAAACAGAAAAAAATCCAACTTTTGTTTATCTAGGTTATGCACACGAAATATTAAATTTTGCATGCAAAAACTTTTTTTTGGAAAAAGTTTGTTTGTTTACCAAATTTGTTTTGCCGTTGAAAAAAAACCAAAATTTTTTGGGCCATTTTCAAAATTACTTGAAAAAACATTTTTGTGTCGCCATCAAAAAATTGCTAGTCATACAATTTCCATATATGGGAATTGTATGATAAACATTTTTTTTCAAAAATTAAAAACCTCGACTTTTTCATGACCAGATTGTTTTATTAAAATCAAACAGCTGCAGAAATTAGTTGATATTTTTTTCACCATTTTTCGAATATGTACAAAAATTGTATGACAAGACTTGCTCCATACGCTTGATGTATGGAATTGTATGATAATCATTATCATTTTCGGTATAGGGAGGTCAACCCGGGATTACAATCGAATAATTTGCTGTAATTTTTTTCTACATTTTCTGTACAAGTTAACTAATGAGTTAAATTTGATTTTGAATTTAGGACTTTGCTCACTGTTTTTATCTAATTTTTTCTGGCGTTTCGAAAGTCATATCTTTTCATGGATTCAACCAATATTGATCTTAAACATGGCTCCTCGTTTATTGCCACCTGTTGGGTAGAAGACGCGAGCCAATGGGTGGTCTTGGCTTTGCCCCCGATCTCACTCAGCTGGGAGGGGCGTCGGTGCTCGTCCATCCCTGCAGTCGATCGGCTGTTTGATCTTGCGGAGCCCGGAACCAGGTACTGTTTGTCAGCAGACCTACTCACGCGTTTCGCTGAACATGATAAAACGATTAAAACGAAATCATTTCATATTAAATAGAAAATGGAGCGAAAATTCTTTTTTGTTAAATTTCATAATCCGATCAATTTAAACTTGAAGTCAAGTTAAAAATGTTTGAATCTACTATACAATCGCCCCCTATGGTATCTCCTAAAGAATTGCCCTCCCCTACAAATAAAAGCAGCGATTCAGCTCTAGAGCGCTCAATTTAAGTTTCAAATTTTACTGCTTTCTGATTGGTCGAAGTTTCTATTAACTTAATCTACTTTACAGTTGTCCCCCCTTTCTTAAAAGGGGGTAATTGTTAAGTATGTCCGAGTGTGTTTCCTATGAAGGATGGGGTTAACCTAATTTTCTGTGACTCGTTCATTTTGCCTCTTCTCCTACACCTCCTAAATAGACCTTTTGGCTCTTTTCTACTCCCCTCCCACCCCCACATTTGCATTTCTGTTTTGAAAAACAAATATTAGGCTGTCATAAAAGGTAAAGAATTTTCGCATGGTGAACAACTTAACTATTGTGAACGCATAAGCCAACTAAGAAAATGGAAAATTTGAAATGTGGGGGAAATTGGAAAAGAGCCGACTTATTGCATAAAGAATATAAAAGCACTGGTTCCGCAAAATCATTCATGCAGACAAAAATTGGAGATTTATCCTCCTTTAAGAATACACAACATCAATATCTGAACCAAGCGAGCAGCGTTTTGATGTAAAAAGTCACCACCGGGGAGGAGAGTAGACAATAAAAATTGTTGTTTGGAACGTACATTTCTTGACGGGCTTCTTGGACACGATTCTCTTCAATGGATTTCTCAGTTCGATCCAGGCTTCCATGTTTTCAGCTGGCATCAGGACTAAATAGACACAGAGGAGGAAACTGAGGAAGAAAAAGGTGAGACCGAGTCCCACTTGGACCCATGCTGAATTCCTCGAGAGGATGAGGGGGAACAGACTGAATAGGGGGGCAAAGAGGAGGAGAAGCACTCGTGCTCCGAATATGACGTCACGAAGCTCGTCCGGGATATCGTACTCTTCCATCTATAAATACAACCTGGCTTTTAAATCGAATTGAAACACGTGCTGTATCTTTCCGATTCTAATTAGGACTTTGAAAGATTACATTATGATACCTCATTATGGTATATAGGGCAGATTAGTATAGGGTAGATTAGTATAGGGTAGATTGGTATAGGGTAGATTGGTATGTAGGGTAAAATGGCATAGGGTAGAATGGTATAGGGTAGTTTGGAATAGGGTAGATTGTCCTGCCACCTTTGTAATATAGGGTTTTAAAATAAGGTTTTCAAGCATGGTTTAAATCTCAGAACCGAATCCCAAAAAGCTTAAAACCTTTAAAAGGTACTTGGGTGTTTTTATGAGTCATAATCATGATGGTTTCATTCTGAATTATCTGCAACGAGTTTGTGTAAAAAGCTTTTAAAAAAGCTACTGTGTATCGCCTTTTCAGTCTTTCTATGCTTTGTTAATTTATACTGATCATTTTTAAAAATGATATGTTTTCTGTTTTTCATGCCAGCTTAATCTGACTGAAAAAATCTGAGGAGCCAAAAAAAAAATTTTTTTGGTTCATTAACCAGAGCAATAGTTATGAAAATCATGCAACTTTGAAAATTTTGAAAATTTTTCAACCTGTATCGACTTTTTTCGCGTGTTTATGAGCCCTGATCGTTTTTGATTCGTTTATAATTCGGTATTTTAGTTGACTTATTCAAATCCATAATTCCAATCAGAAATAAGGAAGAAGTCTCACCTGTTTAGACAAAGCAGTGCCATTCCTGTATATGAAGAACGTCAAAACAAACTGACCAATCAGGAAGTAGAAGACCAGGGGAATATAGAAGAGGAAGAAGGTCGAATAGGAGTCGTGTGCCACGAAACACGAGTTCAAAGTGCCGAGGTCGTCGAGACTGAGGAGGAAAGCGCCGAGTGAGAATGCAGCTGAAACCGAGATGAAATTTCTTCAACAATTCCTGCCCCCATTATTGCAAAAGGTAGCATTCATCACTATAGGTTCATTTTTGCAATCCAAAAAATTCCTATAAAAGAGTAGAATTTTGTCGTAATTTTCGCGGCTACTATTGCGACCCAATGTGGCGACTATTGCGACCCAAATCGGGTATGTTGCAACCATTGCGACTCAAAATGGGTATGTTGCGACTTTGTGTGACCGAAGAAATTTTATGCTACTTTGCGCGACCCAAATAAGATATGTTGCGACTTTGCGCGCCCCAAACAAGATATGTTGGGACTTTGCGCGAACCAAACAAGATATGTTGCGATTTTGCGCGACCCAAACAAGATATATTGCGACTTTGCGTGACCTAAAAATGTATGATGCGAGCATTGCGACTCAAAATGGGTATGTTGCGACTTTTTGCGACCGAAATATTTGCGCGACATTGCGCGACTCAAAAAAGGTATGATGCTATCATTGCGACTTAAAATGGGTATGTTGCGACTTTGTAAGACCGAAAAATGTGCGCGACATTTTACTCGAATTTGGTTCGCAGTTTCGGGTCGAGGTGTGAAATTCATGTTCCGACAGTCTCAACCCAGGCTCGATTTGTTTTGACCGACTCGACTCAAGCTGTCTATTTTTCGACAATGTTAGACCGAGGAAGAACATTTCCACCAAGTTCGACCTAAGAAAAACGTTTCGATCGAGTAGGTGCCGTAGATATAGACTCCCTGGACACATGTTAAGAATCTTCCATCCTAATAGACCAAGTGAACTATCTCTCCCTTAAATTAGTTGGCAAATTCAAGCCGTAAGACCTGCATGCACTACGCTAAGTCTGATTAGCCGAAAAATATTACTTTTCACCAAAAGAACAATCTCCCTCCTTTAAATTTATTGAGCGTGGTAGATTGTTCACTTGGTCCACTCACCAAAATCTATCATTTGTCTTAAACTGTAATATTTTTAATAGTATTTTTTTTCAAAAATTCAAAATTTTAAGTTTTTTTCTCGAAACTCCCGTTTTTGTTATGTGTACCTGGTAGTATGAGTGAGTTCAGGAAGTAAAAAATGACAAAGAATTCTGCCCTCCAGAGAGAGGGAGTGAGTTCCTTGAACAGGATTAGGAGTTCATTGAAGAGACTGCCCACAGTAGACAAGATGCCAAATTGCATGCCTGTCTGAGTGAACGCACACGCCCCCTTCTCGTCACTCTGAACAAAAATTACAGCTAATAATAATAACAAAAATTGTTACCAGTTTATAGTCTAGTGGCATTTAAATGAAACTAAAATAGGCAAAATTATCTGCCGACAAAAAATTGGAAGGACTCTAGTAGTTTGTATATATTTAATAACAATTTTCCCATGAAAAAAAAAGATGTTTTAGACAGCAATGACTCTTTTTGATTTTTCTCTCCGTAGTGTTTTTTTCAAGCATAAGCAACTCAGAGCAATTTCTGACTAAATTTTGAAGTGTTTTCTCTATGAATTTGATCTAAAAAGCGTCTTACAACAATGATGATATATTAGCTTCTTACAACAATGATGAAAAGTTGGACGCTTTGGACCTGAAGAAAAAGCACTCGCTAATTTATGAGTACCATTGCAAAACCACCTTTTAATTCCATGTTTTTTAAATAAATCACATGGGAAAAAGTAGCGTATGATTGGACGTTTCGAAAGTAGTTCAGGCATCGCATCGATCTGAAAATAGTTTGCATTAGATATCCGAAGCTTCAGTACCCTACACAAAGACTGCAGAAGAAGCCGCTTAACTCATAAATAAAAAATTGTTCAGTGCTAAATCGTTGTGTTGAGATAAAAAGTTGGGTTTGGTGGGCCTTTAAATTGACTAGCTTCTTCTACGTCTGCGGTTTTGGAGAAATTTTGGAGTGCTGATTAAAAAATGTCCCAGCCTGCTCAAACTTTTCGAGACTTAAGGGGTTTGGACGGTCTTTTGAGCGCTTTTTGAGTGATATCCCGATTAGGGGATGTTGTATCACCTTTTCGATTCCCGCGAGGTGTGAACAGACGACAATGTTGAACGAGAAAATAGTGATTAGGCGTCTGAAGTTGTGGTCTGGCTGGGGGTGGGTGTCGTGGATGTAAAGGAGTCCCATGAACATGACACTGAGCCACACTGCACTCACAATTCCACCAACAATCCAGGCCCACTGGTGCGTCTCCCTCTTAAACGCACACAAAGATGTGTACACGTAATTGCAGTTCAAAAACACAATGATACCAAAACAACTACAAACATAGTCATAGCAATCGTCTTTGAACAACAGCGGTTCTCCACAGGCGCCGATATAGGGTTTTCTCGAGGGGGAGATTTTCATTTTTTTCCCGAAATTTTGGACGCGACCTTTTTATTAATTACGTTTTCAGGCAACTTGTTACTATGGAACTCACAGGTAAAAAACAGGTAAAACTTTTATAACTTTTGTGTCTCATCAATTGTACCTCAGGGGGGTGGTCGGTTTTCTTGCTGGTGAATGTGGTCACCACTGAGAATGCACTGTTGTGGGTGGAGTAGCAGGCGGCCCTGTATGGCATCATGGCCCCCTCCCCCCAGGCACTGAACATCTGCCCACTCACCCACTCTTTGTTGAGGTTCTGGAAACGTCTGCAACTGTGCTGCGCCACTGTCTCGTAGGGACCTCAAAATGAAACAAAACAGTAATTAAGTTTGCAAATATCCCAATTTAATTTCCCTTAGCAGTAACCACTATTCAATATTAGCCTGAAAAAAATATATACTCTAAGAGGAGCTATGAATTAAAACTTCAGAGCTCTTTTATTACCCGTCTAGCAGGGACCTCAAAGGAGAAGAGTTCACATTATTTTCAAACTAACTCTCGTGAATTCTTGATGAAACTTAAATGAATCAAAAAGTTCCTTGATTACTAAGAAAACAACAATGACGCACAGATGTTTCACCATTAAAAGCAGAACAGGACGCTTTTATCTTGGATAAAAAGTCTTAAATATTAATTTTCCAAAAGAATCTTGGATATAAAGTCGGTTTTTAAAAATTTTAATAAATTGTATCCTAGACTTAAATTTTTTAATTCATGGATAATTTTTTTTTAATTAACACGTAGAAAGAACACTTAATCCCTTCCATGCATATAAAGTGTTCACGAACAGATGTTTTAAGCCACTCTGATGGCATTGAGATATTGTAGGAGAGGACTGTCGAAAGTTAAAATTCCCATTTTTTTGTACGCATCTCACCTTCGTGGGAGACTGGGGGGTAAGATTGGTCGAAGTTGCAGGAGTAGTTAACAGGCACAGACACTGACTCCCCCTCCCCAGTGGTGCCGCCCGCCATTATGATGTCACAGTTTCTCTTGCTCTGCACCAGAACCATACTTTTCAGCCCGCTCTTTTCGCTGTAATTAAGGCAAGTGATTCAGATTAGTAGGCAAATTAGTAGTGATCGTCTGAAATAGATTGATTGCACTAAAAGTTAACAGGATTGTTATGTTTTTATTTTATTGAAAAAAAACTATTATTGAAGCAAAAATTATTAAGTAATGAAAAAACTATGGCTAAAGTTTATAACATTTGTTTTCTGCAGCCAATTCTTGCAACCCATTCAAGTTTAAAAAGCATTAGTGCGATCATTAAACATTATTTTGAAAAACTTCTCGCTACAATAAAAATAATTGACAGCTTTTGTAACTTTTTCAAAGAAACAATACGAAATAAGACGAAAACATCGTGTTTGGAAAGATAATCCTACAACTCAGCTACGGAGCGTGTCTAAGAGAGCTACGGCTGAAATCGAATTGATTGATAAATTTAGCGCTACCTGATTGATTGACTTGAGAGGGTTCTCTGAGCAGGTGTGGACAAGTATTCGTCTATCATCAGAAGAGTGATCACAGACCCACCTGGGAGTAGATCCAGAGACGACAATGGGATCTGGACACCTAAAAGTTGAAGCTTCATTAATGTTCAAAATGATATCTTTGGAATGCTAAAAAAATTTTCAGACCAAAAAGTTTATGACGCTCCTAGATCTTATACAAAAACTTAAAGATTGTCGGATTTAAAATAACAAAGTTTTGTATAATAACAAAAAGTATAATGGCAAAAAACCGAAATCGTTCATATCTAACTTTTCATTGTGGTTTCTGCGATTCGCAGAGGATCTATGAAAGGCTATGCAACCTATCTAAGCATAGCCCGTTTCTCTTATTTCCCCACACTCCAGACTGAGTTAATTTGTAGAGCGAAGCTCTTTTTTTGCGACTCAAGGTACGTTTTCTTGCATCTAGAACTTTCACGTGGTATCATTATTGCAGCCGAAATTGTTCAGGCTGTGGTAGACTTGAAGGTCAAGTTAGAGCTCATCCTCACACACTATCATTGCCACTATACTAAGTGCCTCCCTTTTTTCGATACAGTTTAGAGAGAGACTATACCATTTTAATCTGACCATAGCAGAAAAATCCCAAGTTCTCGGTTCAGATTGATTCGCACCTTGGAGAGCGTGATTCGTAGTTCCCGAGTAATCCAGCATCTGCAGTTTCAGTTTGCCAAGAGCCGCCTCGAAATCACTTCTGTCCTCGGGAAGTCTCACCACTTTTGCCTTGATGTGATCCGCCTCATACTCTGTCTCCATATCTGGTTCCATATGTTTCCCAACATACAGCAGACTCTGCTCCAGTTCAGCCAGGCCCTGGACACTTTCTTTTTCGTCTTCACTCCACTGGGGGATTTTGTCGGCCACTTCTGCGACAAGATTGACCATGACACTCACCATGCGATCAGCCATGATTTGCACTTTGGCCCGACTTGGATCAGTTTCATTCGTCACCAATCTGACAAAACAAATCGAACCAATTTGCCATTAGTAATTTCAACGAGCCCCGATAAAATTCAGTTTCTTTTGTTGTCAGAACCACAAATATTAGTTAAAATTTTGAGGTATATTGCAAAAAAAAGCCGATGAAACATGAAATGCATAGTGCGTCTAATTCCAAAAATTAAACAAAAGCTCACGGAAACGCTTAGCTTAATTACAGACAATTTATAGTTAATTAACACAAAAAAGTTTGAGTAACATTTCCGTAAAATTTAAAATAAGTCAACAGACCAACTGTTATTATATCCAATACTTGGAAAGAACTTTTTTTTCGATTTATTTCAAACAATAATCTTCTATGAGCGAGTCGTAATAAGTAAACCCCCTTGAAAAATTCTTGAACTTCAAATATATTTTTGACACAGGCTTAATATAAGCAAGCTTTTCAAAAAAAAATAAGAAGTATGTTACATATAAACTCTCCATCCCTCGCAAGAAAGTTTTCTGTAAATTATAGTTTGGATTTTTTAAGCAAAATTAACTCAATATGATTAAATGATTTGCAAATCATAACAAGGATAGCCGGTTACTGTGCAAGTAGCAAAGAATATCCTGTCCGATCATAGTCTAAAAAAATTCAAGAAAATTTTTTTTTTCAAATTAAGGTCGGACAAAAGGATCTTAACAAAAAATTGGAACTTAAAAATAGACGGCAGTCTTATTGAAATAGACTAAAATGAAGAAAAACGACCATGAAAACACAAAATATGAAAAAAAATGCAGATTTTTTTTTTGAATTTTTGGCAATTTTTATTTTCAAATGGCGCTAAAAAACACCAAAACAATTAATTTGAGTAAAACTAAAATTTCGCGGCGTAAATGAACCAAAAATATGCTTTTGTAAGCCTGCTCGCTCGAATAATTTGCTCGAATTTAGACTGAAAGCCAAAGGCTTTAAACCTGTTTTTCTCGGTACTGAAACTTTTTTTGGAAATTTTTGAATGTCATTCGAAGCACAACTGAAAGGGGTTCAACACTCGATTAATTCCCATAATTAATTTTGCTATTTGCTACCAGATTTTGCGATGAAAACAAAAAGAAAAAAACTAAAACTCTCCCGAACAAAAAGTTCCTCCCCATTTTTCAAATGGTCGGAACAACAAGTATAGCCATTTATACAAGTTGCTTATCGCCTTTTTTGTGCAGGGTGTAATGAGAGAACTATAGAAACGCGTTGAAGCTCAGTGAATTAGGCATAACCGACAACATTTGTCTTCACAAAAAAAATTTAATAAAATGAAGAAAAAAATATTATAAAAATACTCCCTGAAATTTTTTTGCCAGTATTTTTTTTTAAATTGTTGCCAAAAAAGAGCTAAATGAAGTTTCCAAAATTTGTTTTTTTCCTGCAATAATATCAAGTTTTTTTAGCCTAATTGATCAATTTCCAAACTACTCAATTGCTTTACTCGAAATTCTAAACGAAACGTCAAAACTTTCAAACCCGTTTTGTCTCCACACTGGGACATTTTTGAAATTTCTATTAAGTAAGAGTGACGATTGAAAAAGCTTTAATATGAAATATCACTCGACCTTCTCCGATGATAATTTGTGGTACCTGATTTTGCCTGGTAAAAGAAAAAGTGGAAAAAAAACTAAAACAAATGAATGCAATATTCCTACCCACTTTCAGTGGTTGGAACAGAAAACGAGAAAAATGCCAAAAGAAAGGAATATGTTTGAATAAAATTGATAAAAAACCTACCTTCCGAAACCTCGCACTTTTCTGAGTGTGTCCAGGGCGGCGTCTGCTTGGGATATGCCAGCATCTTCTCTTAAGTGCAAAGTGTTCGATCGAATCAGACTCTCAGCCTACAGCATAATTTCAGTTATGGAATTTTTTTGAGAAATGATACGGGAAAGTTTATTTTAATACTTGAGACTTTTATGACGTTTTTTTCATTTTCAGGGCTCAGTCCAAATCGGTTTGTAGAAAATTCAGATCGTAAGAGAAAGTGTCATCTCTTTGTAGGAAGTTTAATCTCTAGGAGGAACTTAAGTTTGACTGCAACTACCTCGAAATCTCCTTCCAGACTACCGCTTTGCAGAAAATGATAAAAATATTCCAAAAAGTCCTGATGAGAAAAAAATTTTGTCATTCAGTCTGGTCCTGAAGATTAAGTCTCATGCTACAAAGCCGCCAGTACAAGGACTGTACAATAAGTTCTCTGTCTATGGAAAAAAGACAAAAATTTAAGAAAGTTTATAATTTTGCAAACCAACCCTGTTCACTTAAGTTTCCTGTTCTAAAATTTTCTTCTATAAACAAAATGGTTTAGTCGGAGATCCAATTTACCACTTTGTAATTCTACTGGAGAAACTTTTCAGACCAGGAAAGAGTGGTCAGCTGGGATACAAAATCTTCAATAGTGAAGGAGGTTCAGTCTGATTGACCTTGAACTAAGACGCGGGCACTACACTTGCCTTGGTGTAGATAACATCTTTTCCTTCTGCTCTCACCAGTTCTTCCAGTCCCTCTTCAAGCAGCACGTCTTCCACAAACCGTATGTTGACATTCAGAGCTAGACAAAGTAACACAGTGAAACATCACAACTTTAAAATTTGGGGCACATCAACGGGCTGGTTTAGAGCAAAACTTAAAAAATCTAAAATGGTTGGTATTTGAATCGGATTCATTTAGAATCTTTTCATTTCACTTCAGTTTCCAAATTCTGCAACATCGAAAAAATCGCGAGGAAAAATGAAACAATTGTTTATTCTTAACCTTATAAAACGTACATTTGTTAGCATAATGCAATTCCAATAGGCTTGCAATTTTGTCAATTTTTATCTAGTTACATTATTCTAGGATTTCGATTTAGAATAAGTGATAGTTGGTTACGCAAAGAAAAGTTTTGTTTTCTAACGTCCTGTGGTTGAGGGTGGATGTGTGGGTGGGGGTTCGGTCTCCCTCGGCTGCTGCTGTTCCTCCTCCTCCTCCACCTCCATGACTACAAATGGCGCCTCAGTCCCCACCTCAGGGGACGCGAACTCCACCTCTCCATTGATCTACAGGCAGAAAATGTTTGAGGCCCAATTTCAATAGTTAAAGATTTTAGGCAAAAACTGATTCACTTAACACACAGAAACACACGAGCTACTAACAAAAAATATAGGTTATGTCAATTGAGAAGCCTCCCCGAGTGGTGGGTAAATGGCCCAGTGGATAAATAAACATATTAACCAATATGTAGACCAGGAAGCTAGCGAGCGTAGTATATTAGTATGACTCTACTTTTTTCACACCTAACTCACAATTAAAAGTGCACATTTGGTGGCACTTTGCTATAATCATGATCTGCAGCATTGGAAATGTCATACCATCTCTCCTCTGCTTTATTTGTCGCTAGTGTTTGACAATAGTTATGCATCCGCGGCAGAGAGGGAGAAGGGTCGGGGAAAACGGCAAATTTTTTATTTGCTAACGATTGTCCATGTTTTGTCGCACTTAGAGAAATTGGTCTAAGGCATACTTTAGGCGTCCAGTTGAGCTTGGTGGACCAAAATTATGCTAAATATTGAGGGAGATCGTTTCATCCAAAAACCGAAACACCGCAAAAAAAACAAATCGCATTAAATTATATATATTTTTTTAAAAACCAAATTTAAGCATATCAAGTATGAGTCGATTCAGAGCAAATCCCTGCGTAAATCAATGATATATTGAGCTTATTGAGAAACATAAGGCATGACATCCACGAACACGAAAGAACAGCTGCAATTTTTTTGGGAGATGGTACCCGATGAGACAAATGCTCACATCATGGAGCCCTGCTGGAACCAAAAAAAAACTGTTATCAAAAGCAAACTTTTTTCTGAGCTTTTGTAGAATTATCAGCAGATTTTTTTTCGTTTTGCAAAGGATGAATTGGCTCAAGAGTGTTTTCAAACATTATCATGCATACATATGCATTTTATTCTCTATGAACTCATCAAACTGGTGTATAAAATTTCATTATTTAATTTTTGTTCCGACCACTGGAAATGGAGAGGAAATTTGTATTCGGGTATGTTTCACTTTTTTCATTTTTATTCTTTCACGCGAATTTAGTTACAAAAATTAATCATGAGAAGCGATCCAGTGATATACTGTATTAAAATCTTTCAGTCGTGATTCAAAAACTGTCCCAGTATCGAGAAAACTTGTTTGAAGTTTTTGAGATTTAGTCTAATTTCAAGCTAGTAACCCGATCGAGTAACGCTGGTTATACCAAAATTTACTTTCTCTAAAGACTATTTTGATAGAGAATCGTTTTTTACTGTAAAAAAAGTATTGGGTTTTAATTTGCTAAAAAAAATTCTAAAAAAAATTTATGTGCAAAACTTTTAAAAACATTAGTTTTTCCATTTTTGATTGTTCTTTTATTTTTTTAAAAAAGTCAAGTATTGTCAATAATGCTCAATTCACCAACTTTGGACGCAATCGTATAGTTCTCAAAACACATCACCCTTTTAAAATGATCTTAAATTGAAGATAATTTAAAAAAACTGCCTTTTTCATGATTATGGTCCGCCATTATGTGCAACTTGCACAGCAACCGACTATTCTTGTTAAGTTTTTTTTTGTGTTTCAATTTAATTCTGTTTCTTTTAATTTGTCAAAACGGGAACAAGATTGCCCCAGTGACTCAAAACTTGTAGTTATGGGTACGGGGAGGTGCGGAGGGAATTGAAAGACAGCCGGGAGATCCTTTACTTGACTCAAAAATTTCCTTTCGTCACCTTTTGCAGATTGCAATTACAATATAGAGCGTTCTAGACCCAAATTTGTGACATCTGTCTTTGCGACCCAAATTTGTGACATCTGTCTTTGCAACAGAAATAAGTTAAGTAAAATTCTTCTTCATAATAACCAAAGATAACCAAAAGAAACTGGTAAAAAAGTCAATATCCCTACAACTTATTTTAAACGCAAAATTTCTACGGGAAGGGTGTCATTGAAACACAATGTGAACAAATTCACCGTTGAAGGTGATAGCGACGGTGTTGACTTGGTTTTCGGTATTTTCGGGAAAAACATTTGCTTCATCACATGTTTGTTGAATATAAGGCTCACGGGTTGACTTGATAGGAAAAATTATCGCTAGTTCAGAGATATCGCAGCGATTCACATCTATGGTTCAGTCTACGATCAGGGTCACTTTATCCATGATCAGGGCTAAACAATCGCTGAATTAGCACTAAATTTTTAGGTCTAAATCAGACATAAAGCATCCATGAATCAGAGATGGATTTTCACTGCAATAACCCTAAAGACCTATGAATCAGGATATCTCATTCTTAAAAAACTCCTGACTATCCATGAAAAATGTCGAGAAAAATTCAGTTATTTTTCATAGGAAAATCACAAAAATCAGAATATAAAATAGAAGTCAAGTTATAATTGGTGCAACAATGAGCATGAAGTTTTCAAGCTAGTTCTTTACACCAGTTTAAAACCGGTTCACGGCTTGGGCACGGTTTCCCTTTCGACATTTTGAATTTTTCAGGGCTGATTCGGGGATTTATCATGGCGAAACTATCCATGATTATCGCTGAGAATAATAGCCATGAAATAACCCTGAACCATCGCTAAAAAGTTTATAATATGCCCGATTTAGCCATGAGTTTTTCTACAGAAGTGAGATATCTCTGAATCAGCGATAATGTTTCCTGTCAACTCAAACCGGGGTTGTGCAAAAATCGATTAAAAAAATGTTCATAAAGATCAAGAGTAATCCGCAGTTTGAACAAAAAAAGTTGCATACAATTTTGAAACTTTCAGACGAGCGAATTGAAAACAGAATATTTCTAGTTTTTTGATTGTTCAACATGCTGTGAAACATTCTAAATTATAGCAAAATAATGACTCGTTATTTGAGTTCAACTGATATTTAAATTAGATTCTTAGATAACACAAAAAGTTTCTTTCAATTGTAGTACTTTTTATCTTTTCGCATTTTCAAACAAAAGATGTTTTACCTTGACAGTCATTTCAGCTTGCAGGTGCCTTACACTGCACTTGCATATGTAGAGAGACCGAGGTCTGATAAGCATAGTTCTGCAACGGGTAGCAGTGAACAAATCCGGGTCATACGAGTACGCCTCGCTTCCCAGGGTTTCATTTGTGAATTCAATAAGAGATCCATCGCTGTTCTCACAATGAAGGTCAAATTCCCTGTAGCCTCGTATACCGAACGCACATGCATCACAGCATACTCGTAGATCATTTTCGGCATCATTTCGGACCTCAAGAGTGTTATACTTTCTAAAACTCTTAAGCGGGGTTTCGAACTTCAAAGGTCGCTCAGACGCGAAGTCGTTTGTTCCTTCAAACCTACAGGTTGTTTCGCGCGTTGCAACATGCGGGTAAAACACAACGTCAATTGCTCCCGGTCCTGGAACTTCGTAAAATATCTGTTCTCGAACCCATTGATCAGTCTCTTGTCCAGTGTCTGTTTTACACTCGACAATAGCGGTTATGTTCTGTCCATAGCTTCGAAAAAATCCTCTTAGTCGCTTCAACTGACAATCGAGAGTGAAAAGAAATGATGCTCCACTTTCACCAAGAGAAGCGCTTTGCTGTGCCACTATCTTGACCATTTTGCTCTTGGTTCTCAGGCTAGATTTGATTTCGGTGTTTTCCAAACCGCTTTGACACTCGTACCAGTAGAAACCCTGCTGCGACTCTGCCAGACTGTAAAAAGTCAAAGTCGAACACCTTCGAGTGTTGTTACACTGCGGATATTCTGCCACCGTGTCTTCCCAACTGGTGTTGTTTTCACCTTGGATCAACATCCGGATCTGGGATTCACTGGTGAATGTCTTCCAGGAACATCCCGATATCGGGTTTCCCTCCACACAGCTCTTTATGGATACCTCGTTGCCGTAACAGGGTTGTTTGAGTGAAGCGTTGTAAGCGTGACACCACAAGTCAGAAACCGTTAGATTGTCGTCTATTTTGAGCGGCATGTAAAGACTGGGGAAGCTAAGGTCAAACCAGAAGGCATCTTCTGCTTGAAGGTCCAGATTATGGTACTGAGAGCACTGTATGCTTGTTACGTCACTTTCGTCAGGAAAGTCAAGACTGTAAGTGAATACTTCGTTGCTGGTCAAGTTTGTGAAGGTCTGGTTCAGAGCTGACCCCAGAGGAATGGCCTGACATAGGACATTGACTGGGTCGTTTCCATGTGTTTTGACAATGACCGGAAGTTGCATGCCAATTGTGCTGTTCAAAGGGATGTAGCGACAGGAGCCAGCAGCTGACTTGAGATCCCACACCATGCCACGACTGAAAACTTTACCCATTTTCACAATTCAACTTGAGTCTCTATTTTTTTCCAAATACCAAAAAACTTTTATTCTATAACATCTGTTTGACCACCAAAAAGAGGGGGAGGGGTGGTTGTTGATTCTTGAAACAGCATCACTGACGAGATTTTTTGAGAACAAATTTTTTGATTGATGACAAAGTCGATGAAGTCTGGACTTCTAAATCAGCCCAAAAGTATAGTTTTCGAAGAATCAACGCAACACCTCCCTTGAAGTGAAGCACTCACCCATAGCGACAGAACATGCCAGTACGTGGCGGGTCTATCAAATTGGGAGTATCCTTCCATCCCAATTCGTATCCATCAAACGATACCAGAGCCGGCTGTTTTCCAGAGAACAAGAACAATTCTAGCTCCTTAAGCGAAACACTCTGTGGATCTTGGAAGTAGTAGTTGCATGTGAGAGCTTTCCACATCTCGATCATCTCGAACTTTTGACTGACGTCACCTAAATAAACAAAGAAAGTATTAATTGAAACAAGTTGTGAATTTGACCTTGGACTTGGACCATTGATAAAAAAAGGACTCAACCAGTGACCAAATCAAAATTGACAGCAGCCCTTAGAACCACTCAAACTGACCAAAAAGGACGTTTTTAGGGATGCTTTTTCAACTGCTAAAACCATCCCGACTAATGTGGTTGTGCTTTTATTTCATAATAATCTTGACCTTGTGTTCTTAATCAATTACCTGCCTGTCACGTTTATTCGAAGTCCATTGGACTTCGCATCACTTTTCGATAGAAATAGAGAAAAACAATTTTAATTCAAACATCTTTTGTTTTATTCGTTTTACCGTCAGTTTGTTAGTTTTAATTAACCAGTGGTATTTGCACACTTCTTATTATGGCGCAGATATCTGATTCGAACTTGCGGGGAATTCCCACCTTTTGGCCAAATCACACCACTCAACCACCCATCCATTGGAGTAACTGGATAGATCAATTCCACTTGGCAATAAAAGCCAAACAAGATATTGACATTGATAGTCTGAAAGATCCAGTGGAGTCGGAAAATAAGATCACCAATTTTAGAAGGCTCCCAAGATTCAGAAATTTGCACTCTGAAGAACGCCAGGGAGGCCAGAAATAAAGGAGTAAGTGAAGTTTATGAGAACGCTGAGGATAAAAGAATCGCGGAGGAGAAAGGAAAGTTCGAAGGCATGAGAAGATTCGAGGCGGATAAGAAAGTAAGATTGATTTTATACTTGGCCCTTGGCTCTGAAGGAAAAAGAGTCTTTTCATAGAAGCACCCTTGAGTGAAAGCATTATCAGTATCCTTCAAAGATTTCTGTAATCTCCTGGAAGCTGCATTTGTAAAACCAGCTAACACAACCTTCGAGCGGTACGCGGTACAATTTATTGAGCCGGAAACAAAAAGACAGAAAGTTCTATGAACATTTCTGGGGAGCACTTTCTGAGCTAACTAGAACCTGCGAAACCGAGTCAAATGCCAAATGAGAGTGGATTCGAGACGTTTTCATCTTCAACATGAAAAAAATCTACAGCGATACCGGTTTCGAAACCAAAAAACTAGTTAATATCGGGTTAGGCAAAGACATAATTGTGAACTTAAATATACCAGTGGTCTCCGCCAGCTCGGTTAGTTTTTTGAAACAAAATGTCCTCCACGAATTAAAACTAAGATATTCTTTGTTGAAAATTTTTCCTATGGATAAGAAAACACTTTTTCGTTGATTTATCAACGATACTATCAACATCATTGGAAAGATTGTGGTCCCAATTTGATCTAACGGATAGATTTCTATGGAAACTCCCCTTTTTTATCATGTCGGGATAAGAGAGTAACATATTAGGAAATGAAAATCTGCTAAGGTTCGGCATAGAAATCGCCCAAAAGCAGTGTCCCCTTCCAGCCAACAACGTCTCACTCCCAGAAATGTGTAAGTCAAATATTCACATGAATACCATTCTAAACTTGTACAAACAGTTTAAAGACCTTTTTACAAGAGTTGGAATGATTCCATTGGATGAAAAAATTACCCATTTTCATTCTCCTTTTAAACCAATCCAAACCAAGAGTAGAATAGTACCTCTCCACGTGTTAGAAAATGTAAATACAGAATTAAAAATAATGAAAAAAGAAGGGAGCATCATCAAACTGGGAAAATGAGACGAAGGTTGTTTCATAAGCCCAATACTTATCACGCAAAAAAGACGGTGCAAAAAAATTAGCTCTCGATTCAAAATTGCTAAACGACCAAATTTTCAAAAAATAATTACCAAATGCCGAACATACATGAACTGATCGACAATATCGCGTTATATCTGTCAAACAAAAGGTTGAGGGAGGTATGGTTCAGTAGTTTGGATTTGCGAAACGCATACAGTCAACTAAAACTGTGCGACAACACAACCAAACAATGTAATTTTAGTATTGTCGACTAAAACGAATTTCAACGAGTAATGTATTCACTTTGAAAGCATATACCCTTTACAAAATGTTAAAATGACGATATCTTAATTGCCTCAAAAGTCTCTCTAAAAGAACACCAAGACATCCTACTGAAAATTTTCTACAACCTAGCAAGTAAAAACATGATAGTCAAATGAGAAAGATGTTCTTTTGTCCAAAAAGATATCGAATGGTTGGGCTTCAAAGTTTCGAATACAACAGTAAAACCATTGGTTGGAAAAACGGATTCAATAAAAAACCTCCACATACCAAAAAAAATTTCAGAACTAAGGTTGTTCTTCGGATCAATAAGTTAGTACATGCAATTCGTACCTATTTTATCTACCCTGTGAGCTCCTTTAGGACCCCTTTTAAACAAAAAATCAACCTACCATTGGAACGACTCTCATACCTCGGCTTTTGAAGAACTAAAAACACAAATTGTCAACAGTACCGAAAAAACAACACTTCGATATTAAAGACCTTCAAGATTGAAAACAGACACATCCCACAGCGGATTAGGTTCTACTTTGGAAAAGTGGGACGGTGAAGCGTGGATAATTATTGCCTTCGCTTCAAGATGTTTAAATACTCATTGAGTTGAATTGTTGGTAGTAGTTTGGGCAACAAAACACTTTAAGAACTTTTTATACAGTTCCGCGTTTGAAATTGTGACCAACCATAAGGCCCCTTCATCCGCATTAAATGCTGATCACGGTAACAAAACCATACATAGCAGATTGACACTTTGGGTATACAGACTTTCAACAAAAAACTTTCCTACCATCTCATTATAACAACGAGTTCGTGCTTGCAACAATCAACAAGGTAAAAGACCATTTTTGTGCCAATGCTATGTGTATAAAGAAGAATAAAAAAAAAACAACATAATCCAATGGTCGCTAATAGTGTATCTAATATAACAAAGCTGGATAATATAAAGCAAACGGTCGAATAATATAATCAAAGAACGAAAGATTACTTCTCTTCCAACAGTCGTTCTTCGCAAATATTCTGAATTATGTCACTGAAACAATTCAAGTTTGCGTTACAAATCACTCGCGTTTAGTGCCTTGCACAAAAAGTTGTATTCCACTAGACCTTTAGAATTTCTAAACAATTCTTACTTTCAGAAAAAGATTATTTTTTTTACTTATAGCTTCTTCATTAAAGTTACTCCCCGACCTAAATCCAAAAAGTAAGGCTGACTTAAGTACATTTCATCATTCAACTTCTTTTCAAAAATTATCAATCATTGCGGATATACACGGACTTTCTATTAAAATCGATAACGAAACCATGTTCGAAACTCACAAAACCTTACTTTCTAAATACAAAGGGAACCTGAAATTACCATGTTCATCGCTATCAATCATTTTCAGATCATTGTTCCAACAATTTAATCCAACTTATGACGACTGAGGATAAATTTTTATAAAAAAAAAAATTGCAGTGGAAAACGGGATTCCACTGGATAAGTTTGGAGCTTACTTAAAAACCTTCAAAAGAGACATACACTTGAGAGATGGATTACTATTAGGCGATAACAAGTTAATCGTTCCAGCAGCGCTAAGATCGCCATTAATGAGTTTGTAACACAAAATTCACCTCGGACAGTTCGGAATGAAGGCACTGGAAGAAAACATTTGGTGGCCGCATTTGTATAGAGAAGTCTCCTTCCACGGGAAAAATTGCACTCAATGTCTTAAAGCCGGTAATGTACTGCACTAATGGACTTCGCTAATGCACTGGATAAAAATTGGGGCACTTCAAAATACCTTTTACTTTGTATAGATTGATTTACTGAAACTCTTTCGCTGAAAATTGTAAATAACACCTCCACCGCGACAATTCTTTCCTTTTTGACTGATTACTGCAATCTTCACGGACTTCCAAATTCGATTAGAGTAGACCATGGGTCATACGATTTTAAAAGCTTCCGAGAGAAAAACAATATCAACTCACACTTATGCCCCGAGGGGGATCATACATCTAATGGAGTTGTTGAACGCTTAATTTACACGGTGTAAGCGAAACTCATGGCAATGACTTTTAACGATCCTAAAATAACATCTATTTCAGCCATCGATAAAATGATCTGGAATTCACGCTCGATGAAGCAACCATCCATTGGATGTACACTTTTCCTAAGACATTTTAACAGATCTTCCATCACTTTTTGGTAAAGTCTAGCTCACACTCGACAACGGGCACGTCCTCAGAAAATCAGACCTCGCCTTCAAGACAAAACAATCAATGGCTCCAAATAAATTAGCAAGTAGATCAAACACCTTAGTTAACGTTGATGATTTAGCAGGGAAAAGAAAGAGACATTCTCCAGCTAAGGGACTGGATTCCAACATTACGGGATCTTCCTCTTCTAGAATATCTTTGGGGTCGTCAGCTGCGAAGAGACAAAAAGCCATTATTTTCCCGTCAAAATATTTCCTCTCTTTTGATTTTGAACCTACGTCCACGCTAGACTTAGACCACTGCGATAACATCTTAGAAGACTAACTAGGCTCAGACTCAGACGTAAAATCGGATGCAGAATCTATCACTCTTGAGAGTTTTTTAGATTCTTCAAGACGACTGTTAACGGACGACAAGGAATCCACTGGAAACACCACTCTACCTTCGGGCACGAACGACGACCCAATCCTTATCGAAAGCTCTCCACAAAAGCCAGCCGAGGCTACGCAGTTCGTCCCCTCGAGTAGCTACTCCAGACCTCGACGAAACCCTGGCTTCCTAAATATTACGATGAGAGGAGATTTGCGGAAAAATTTGCCTAAGTTGAAGAAATACACTTGGTGGAGGATTCGGACGAAGAGCCTCTAATCTCGTTTATGCCTGCGACAAACTCACCCGCCAAACTACTTCAGGGACAATTCCAAATGGATTTTGGTTCGTCTTTCCTGACTCTATTGGGGGATTTCCAGCCAAAGCGATCCTTAGTCGCCGAGACTACTCAATGTTCAACAACAACCCCATCAACTGTGGAGCCTCAAGTAGGAATCCTATATTCACCAGAAATCGAGTCAAAACTTAATGAGACACAATCAAATTGCGACATTTCATCTATTATAGACTCAGAAACAAGAATTGAGGCGGACAACTTTCACAGAAACTTTAACGAAAAGTAATCAAAACTTTTCAACATGTTCTATCCAAATAACCTGATTAAGCCATTTTGTAATTGCTAAACTAGCCTCACTTAGTGCGTTTGTGATTAACATTTTCGTTATTTAATCTTACACTTTGGAGAGTGTAGAGCTTTATCTCTTTTTTTGAGTTGTAATTTTGTTAATTAGCCTTATCCAATGAATATTTTGTGTATATATTTATTTTCTTTTTACATAACCCCAACTGTACATCAAATTTAATCACCTGTATATATCTGAATGAAATATACGTAGCCTGTAAATTAGTACAATATGCATCTCCGTGTAAACTTGTAGATCTTCGGTATATTCCATGGTGTGCAGTAAGTAAGTTACTTTTTTTTCGAACTTCGTACCCGTGGGGTGAAGGGAGAAAGGAGTATGTGTTCGTAAGTGGGCTACTTATTCCATTCACAATTACAAGTTTTTCTTGCATTGGGGAATGTGGTGATTGTGCCTTTATTTCATATGAATCTTGACCTTGTGCTCTTAAATAATTACCTGCCTGTCACGTTTATTCGAAGTCCATAGGACTTCGCATCACTTTTCGATAGAGATAGAGAAAAGCAGTTTCAATTGAAACATCTTTTATTTTATTCGCTTTACCGTTAGCTTATGTAGTTTTAATTAACCAGTGGTATTTGCACACTTCTTATTACCGACAATGGACAAAAAACGGAAACTTTGAATTGACCTGACAAGATTATGTTTTAACATTTAACGAAGAAGATTTCCCAGCCTTACCTTTTCTTAGACTTCATAAATGACTTGTTGGAAGATCTTGACCCATACCGAAAATAAGTGTCATATAATATTACCAATGCAGACCTTTTGTGCAATGAAGCGACCAAGATTCGAAGCAGAACAAGCGCCCCCTACAGGGGCGGATCTAGGATTTTCTCGAGGGGGGGCGGATTTTCAAAAAATTTTCGAAAATTTTGACGACCTTTTTTTTTTTTTAGGTCGATCAGATTGATTTTCCGAGCTCTCCCAAAGCAATAAAAAGACCCTGTTTTGGCCAAATTTTCTGCGCCGCAGGCAATTTTTTGAAAAACCAGGTCAAAAAAGCCGTTTTTGGGCACTTTTTGGAAAATTTTGACAAAAAAATCGCGTTTTTTTGGCGCGCGCTCCCCCTCAAAATAAGTATATATTGGCGCCGAAGGCGCCTTTAGAAAAATTTTAGGGTCGGTCGGCCAAAAATGGATTTCTTAAAAAGTACCAAAGGGGGGACCCTTTGGGTTGGCAGGGGGTCGAATCCCTGAGGGGGGGGCGTCCGCCCCCCCGCCCCCCCTAAATCCGCCCCTGGCCCCCTATATCATCAAATACAGGACTGTTAAGAGGGTGGTATTCCAAACGAACACGGCCTATGAATTGTTCATTTCTTGATAAAACCGCCCAAAATGTGATCAACATTTGAACAGTTTCTTGGTAGGTATCTTGACTCGGGCGGCTTATACATATTCTATTTGCCCGATTTTTCAAAATATTTTCCGAGAAAAACTAATCAAAACTTATTACTCTTTTGTTTGAGCGGTTTTATCAGGAATCGATTGAGCGGTTTTTCCGATTTTTTCTTACAAATTGCTCAAAATCAGGCGCGGATCTAGAAATTTCTCGATGAGGGTGGGTGGTGTTGGGTTCTGAGTTCAAAAAAAGTGATGTTCTGAGCTCTCCAAAATCACTATAAAGACCCTAGAGTGACTAAATTTTCTGCGCGGCGTTTTTATGCACTTTTTGGAAAATTTCGACCAAAAAAATTGCTCCCCCATCAAAATTAGTATATATTGGCGCCAAAACCGCCTTTAGAAAAATTTTAAGGTCAGTCATCCAAAATTGGATGTCTCATAATTGTACAAAGGGGGGACATTTTGGGTCGGCAGGGGGTCGAATCCTGAGGGAAAAGGAAGCGTCCGCCCCCCCCCCCCCCCCCTAAATCTACTACTGCTCAAAATGATCTGGAAGAATTCCCCATATTATATCAGATATTGCTGCTGTAGTCCCTCCTTAAGCTACAACAACGAAGAGAAATAACTCTTGAGCAATTACTGAAAATATTAGATCAAACCTTCTTTGGGGTCGAAGATAGCATCCTCAGTTGGGTTCGTGATGACGTAGTCCATCCACATGCCCAGCAGATCTTTGGACATGTCAACGGTGGTGCCTCCATCCATGGCGCAGATATCGTGGCCCGGAACTGTAAAATCTGAGAAGTTGCACACCTTGTAGTAGAACCTGCAACCAAATAAGTGCTGAAATCGCTGAAATAAGTTCAAGAGAATTGTAATTTACCATTTTTAAAAATCGTTTGCCCAAATATTGTTCAAACATAGCTGTAGCGGATAGCCCTAAGATGTTTGACCCGCTGACCACTCAAAGAAAACCTCGTTTTTTCTGGGCGTTTATATAAACTAAATTTGAAGGGGTAGCGCAAAAAACCTCCAAAATTTTACTAAAATTGTCGTTTTAATTTTGAAAAAATCCCCTGTGCGCCATTTTTTATTAGTTATTGGCAAAATAGGGTCTTTTCGGTGTTTTAATAGAACTGGTGATATCAATTAAGACGACCAAAAAGGTCGACAAAAATTGCTTTAATTTTTGAAAATCTGCTCCCCCTCGAGAAACTTTTGCACCCACGGCTGTTATATACAGTCAAGGATCTCAAAAAAAAGTCATCAAAATTTTCCCATTTAGTTTTGATTACAATTTTTGCCAGAAATCATTAAAATCTTAACGAACTGAAAAGAACGTTGAATGGGATTTGAATATACCTGCGACTTGTAATTGTTTTTCCGTAGGCGGCAAAGTAGAGAGCCCTCGGATTGTTCGGGTTGCACGACATGTCACCCGCCGACGGAGTCCCGAACTCTTGCTCAGGTGTCACCATAAAAAGAAGCGAACTGGAACTATTTGTAAACAAATTTACGCACGGGTCCAAATTTTGGATGCTTTCTGGGTCACAGACCGAACCTCGTTTTTGATAGAAACAGTTAGAAGAGTTTGCAACTTCAACTGATATTTCATACTGCCCGTGGTTCCAGTATTGCAAACTAAACAACTGGAAATGAATTTCGACGCTGCGAAGATTTTCGTACCAAAACACTGCCGCAGGGTTATTATCAGTTAAAGGTTTCTCGACGTCTATATTGTACTCACAGGGGTTCAAACTTGTCAACCCCTCAATGTCAGACGGCAACTCGGTTTTGTTCACAAATATGCTCAGAGGAACTTCGTTTATGTCGGCAAAAATGTCTCTGCTGACAATAAAGTGGTGGCTCACCCAACAACTTATATCAAAAATATCACCAATTCGGGTAGTCTTTCTGCAAGATTCGTCGCATGTGATACTGTAAGGATGAATAAGTTCAAGATCGACATACGAGAGCACTTCTTCAGAGATTGAATCAATAGAGAAGGTATACGTTCCAGAATCTGCAGGAGTTATCGGGGAGAATGTCAAAGTCCCAGTCGCTACAATTTCCACCCCGTGGATTCCCCCAGTTTTACAATAGAAGCTCTTTTCAGTCTGTAAGTTATCATCCATGCGGGTTCCGGACACGTGAAATTTCTTGGCAAACGCGTACTTGAAGTTTCCAAGCGGGTACCCAGTTGCCTGTACAGATACAGAGAAGGTCTGTGAAAGCTCGTAATCACTTTCTGAAATGTAGTATCCAAAAACAGGATCAGAAAAATCGGGGTTTAAAGGCGTGATTTGGACATACAGATCGCGGTCTGGAAGAGTTCGTTCTAAGCTGAGTTCGGCTGTGACGACTTTCGGGTTGGCAGATTCATCGATTACAAGAGCAGGAGCCTCACAGAACACTTTGTTGACCAGGGACTGATCCCAAGGACATATTCGCACCGTGTATTGTACGGGGGCGGCCTGGACTTGAAGAGTTGTCACATCTCCCACTTCGTTGTTTTCGAAGTCTTTCGCCATGCAAGTGATATTTCTAGGAAGAAAAATATTTATAATGTTCGGGTAGTTTCCAGGGAGCAAAATATATCTATAGCCTAAGTAGACAAATTTCCATACAATTTAGTCTTACGAGTCCAAACTGTGCACTGGATAGGCGCACGGTTTGGTCTTGTAGATCACTGATATCATTATGGCACTCGTATCAAAAAAAAGTGAAAAAAAAAATCAACTATAATGGAACTTTGCGGTCTAAATTGTTTGCAATATAATCGGTTCCCATGTCGCCCATACACAACAAAAAGAAATAAAAACTCATTGTCTTACCCATTTAAAATTAATTATAAAACATCTAAAATCAATTAAAATGGATACTTCTCCACTTTATTTTCGTTTCGCGTAGTGCAAATTTTAAAAAACTTTCTGCATTTATCAAATGAGTAAAGCAGAATTTTTGCCAAATAGGCTACTAAACTTCTAAGCCTAAATCTGCTCAAATTGCATAACAATACCATTCCCATCCGACCCCCTCCCACCGCTAGCCCCTTTGTCCCTTTACTCTCCCCCAACGTTTGCCTTTTTTTAACCAAAACACCTTCTTAAAAACCAACCCACACGTTGTAATTCTTAACCCCCCAAATGTTTTAACAGAGTTGTTTTGGTCATCTTTTGAACAAACAGGTCAAAAATTCTATTTTGGGAAGACTTTGGCCAAAACAAATCATATTTTGGCCTGCGATACCTGTAAAAATTAGAATTTTTATACATAGTATAAATACATGCATGCATACATGCAAACTTATCCCCCTCCAAAAAACTTTTAAACAGGCGGAAAATGCTATTTTTTGTGCGTTTTATAGAAAATTTTGTCTAAAAACTGCACTTTTTCTCTGCGCGCACTCCCTCTCAAAATTAGTAAAAACACACATATATAAACTCATACGAGCAAACACTGCCCACTTCCAATTTTCATTTAAAATTCATTCAAAAACTGAAGTTTTATTGTCTTAATCTATAACAAGACTGCTCGTATCAGGGCAAAGCCCTGAATATTCCGACTGCCTTTTGAGGTTTCATGAGCAGTAATAAAAAAAAATTAAATATAATAAAATCAAATGAAAAATTTTTTTCTTCTAAAATTTGAAAGTTTTATGAAAATCATTCTCCCACACGCCATATAAAGAACAAAAAGATAGATTTCGCTCCTATTTTTATATCAATTATGGCGTATAAGTTTTCTCGAACCAATTTGGAACGATTTTTAAGACGGATTAAATCACCGCTTACGCGTTAATGGAGCGAAATATATCGCGCGTTAATTGTCCCAAATTGGGCAAAATGGCAGTCTTTAAACCCCCATAACTTTATAAAAAATGGTCACAGGTAAAATATCTTTTCAAATTTAAGCTCAGGACAACAATAGCTTTCGATTGATATACAAACATTCCGTCAAAAATGGCTAGTTAAAAAGTCGAAATTTGTCTGAAGAAAAAAAAAACCAACCCCGAGCACAAATACTCCGTTACTTTCGTATCGGAAGAGAAAAATAATCGATTATTGTTCCGACTTTCGATACGAAAGTAACGGAATATTTGTGCTCGGGTGGGTTTTTTTTCTTCAGACAAATTTCGACTTTTTAACTAGCCATTTTTGATGGAATTTTTTATGTCATTCGAAGGCCATTGTTGTCCTGAGCTTAAATTTGAAAATATATTTCACCTGTGATCATTTTTCGTAAAGTAATGAGGGTTTAAAGATTGCCATTTTGGCCATTTTGACCAATTTGGGACAATTAACGAGCGATATAATTCGCGCCATTAACGCGTAAGCGGAGATTTAATCCGTCTTAGAAATTGTTCCAAATTGGTTGAAAGAAGCCTATTTGCCATAATTGATTTGTTACAAGGAGCGAAATCTATTGTTTTGTACTTTATATGGTGTGTGGGGGGATGATTTTCATCGAAAAATTTTCAAATTTTAGAAAAAAAAGTTTTTCATTCATATTATTTCATTTAAATTTTTATATTGCTTATGTTATTACTGCTCCATAAACGGTAAAACGCAGTCGGAACTTTCAAGGCTTCACCCTGATACGAGCAGTCTTGTTATTGATTTGCACGGAGTTTTGATGCTTTTTTAATTAATAGCAATATAATCGATTCTCAGTTGATTATAATCAATTGTTTTTCACTTTTGTAGGCCTGATAATAAAAGTCAAATATTATAGGTTTTTATCCATGGAGCTCCAGTGCGGGCATGTTCAAAGGGAACACAAGATCAAAAAGAGCGGTCTTATTAAATTCCCAAAATACAGAGTTAGGTCTCGTAACGAAGGTGCCCAAACATGCTTTATGGTTGAGAGATGGGATTGCATTACATTGAATAAATTTTGATCGGAAATGAGTGTTACGAAAAATGGTTTTAACTAAAAAAGTGAATCATTTCTGTCGAGCAAAACTGGCCAGCAATTTTTTCCCTTACGCTTATTTACGGCAGCGAATGTTTTGTTGACCAATCTACAATAAATAAATATTGAAGTTGAAAAAACTCTCTAAATTGTTTCAAATTTTGCAGGTTCTTAAATTTTGTTAAAAATCAAAAAAGCCCTGATCGGGCGCGGATTGAAGAATTTCAGGCGCGGGGGAATGGGGCAGATTTAAAAAAAAATTTGAATTTTTTTTACGTCGACCAAATCACTTTTTTTACGTCGACCAAATCATACGTGCGAGCTCTCCCAAATCACTATAAAGACCCTAATTTGATCAAATTTTCTGCACCGCATGCAAATTTTTGAAAACAGGCCAAGAAAGGCGTTTTAGGAACTTTTCGGAAAATTTCGTCCTAAAAATCGCGTTGTTTTTGGCGCGCGGTCCCCCCTCAAATTAGGTATAGATTGGCGCCAAAGGCACCTTGAGAAAAACATTTTAAGGCCCAGCTTTAGATCGGCAGGGGGTCGAATCCCTGTGAAGAAGGCGCCCCCCCCACCCTAAATCCGCTACTGGCCCTGATTGTGTCAAGCAGCTTCATAAATTATGATGAAACTTTCAAAAACTAGGAATAACGATAAAACTGATAAAACTCTTTACGAGCTATTCAAGTTGCTTTTGACCCGTGTGAGTCTGAACATGAAACAGTGACCTTGACTTCGATGGTTTTCACGGTTTGAACAATTATTCTTAGGAAAAAAACTAAATAAAACACAAACGAAGCAAAAATTAAAGGAGTCACCTGACAACTCTTGATCCCATGATGGTGACAGATATGGTGAAACTCAACTCCGCACATGAGTCATCTCCACCCCCACTACTCGGAACAACCGAGCAGCCCGAGGAAGAGATATTGATGTTGGATATCTCTCCCTCTGTGTGCATGCACAGGATACTCCTCACTTTGTCCATTGATTCCCCATCCGTGTTTGTAACTCGGCACTCCCTGGACTCGATTGCATCCGGATCCACCTCCATACACTTTTTGACTTCTTCGTTCTCAAGCAACATAAACGTGTTCTCTCTGTCTAAAACAGAGACCAAAAACTTCTAGTTTTAAGGTTCTCATCGAACCTGGATTATAGCAGATCTAAAAGTTTTATGCGATAGTTTATGTGCATGTGATTGTAAATGTGTGCTGTAAATGTTTTCAATAATAGAACTCTAAAATTTCAGTAATAGCCACAGTTATGGTCAATCGATTTATGAATTACAACCATGATCTTAGAACATCCAAAATGCTGGAAACTTTAGACTTGGTTTCGATCATTTTTATAATAGAGAAAGGAACATCGACCACAACTGTTTTTTCCTCGCGATGTTTACAATCCTCACTGAGTGCTCGCAGCCGATTGAGTGAGGTTTTTTATTAATTTTTCTCAGTTCTAATTTCGATTCCAAAAAGCAATCTTTCAGAAAATTTCCACTGTCGAGAAAAACTGGTCTCGGGTGATCAAGGGTGTTGCAACTGGGTACTAGACTTTATAACCGTAAATAACTTTGTTTAGAGGACTCAATCATCTCCTGGACTCTGATATGATCAACTTGTTGAAAAATAAAAATATCTATCATCAATTAAGTAGAAAGTAGTTAAAGCCCGTTTCAGGTTATAATTATTTTTACAAAAAAATTGTCTCATATTTGTTTTCGGGTTCGTGGTTTTCGTCCTTGTTTCTGTCGGCTCATTTTCTGTTTTTTTTTCTAAACGCCATTTTAAAAAGAGGTAGGGGTTTTGTTAGCTTATTTTGTGTTTTAATCAAAAGCATGAGTTTTTTCTAATTTAAACAATTTTTACTCAAACTGAAAGTTCACAAATTTGTAATTTTAGCAAGTCTGGTTTTGAGTATTTTGTTTTCATTCACTATCTTGTAGCGCAATGTGCTTTTGCATCGCAACTTGCTTTTGCTCCGCTTCGCCTCTATGTTTATCGTTTCGTTGTTTGCAACAAAAGTAACAGAATTGTTGTGCTCGGGGTGGATTTTTTTCTTCAGACAAATTTCGACTTTTTAACTAGCCATTTTGACGGAATTTTTAAAAATCATTCGAAAGGTATTGTTGTCCTGAGCTTAAATTTGAAAAGATATTTCACCTGTGATCATTTTTGGTAAAGTTATGGGTGGTTTAATGATTGCCATTTCTGGCCAATTTGGGACAATTAACGCCCGATATAATTTGCGCTATTAACGCTTAAGCGGAGATTTGTTCAGTCTTAAGAATTGTTCCAAATTGGTTCAAGGAAGCTCATAGGCCACAATTGATTTGTTAATAGGAGCAAAAACTATCACTTTATATTTAATATGACGTGTGGGGTGATGTTTTCACAAACATTTCACATTTTATTGTTCCGACTTTCGATACGAAAGTGACGGAATATTTGTGCTCGGGGTGGGTTTTTTTTTCTTCAGACAAATTTCGACTTTTTAACTAGCCATTTTTGACGGAATTTTTTTATATCATTCGAAAGCTATTGTTGTCTTGAGCTCAAATTTGAAAAGATATTTCACCTGTGATTATTTTTCGTAAAGTTATGAGGGTTTAAAGATTGCCATTTTGGCCATTTTGACCAATTTGGGACAATTACCGCGCGATATAAATCGCGCTATTAACGCGTAAGCGGAGATTTAATCCGTCTTATAAATCGTTCCAAATTGGTTGAACGAAGCTTATTTGTGATAATTGATGTGTTACAAGGAACGAAATCTCCCTTTTTGTACTTAATATGGCGTGTGGGGGGATGATTTTCAAAAAACTTTTCAAATTTTAGAAAAAAAAAAAATTTCATTTTATTTTATTTCATTTAATTTTTTTATGTTATTACTGCTGCTCCATAAAACTTAAAAGGCAGTCGGAACATTCAGGGCTTCGCCCTGATACGAGCAGTCTTGTTTTATTACTTCTAAGTTTTTCATGTTATTACTGCTCCATAGACCTTAAAAGGCAGACGAAACATTCAAGCCTTCGCCCTGATACGAGCAGTCTTGTTTTGATTTCAATCTTTGTTATTGTTGTTGAAGTTTTCTGAATTCCTTCACAGCAGCTATTTCTTATTGCCAAGTTCTTCTTTTAATGTGTAACAAAGTAAACCAAGTAATGTGTAAGTAACACGAAGCGCATCAAACACACTGATTAAATAAAAACAAAATTTTTCTCGTTTCAGGTTTGATTATGCTATTTTTTTTTGTTTTCTCAATAAGAGGCATTACAAAAAGTCTAAAGAAACGATATAATAGCTAAGCTAATGAGGTAATTGAAGAGGATTAGGTTCTTTTCAAGACAGTTTTCTTGATTTTTGGAATCGAATGAAAAGCAGCATGATTTTAGTATGATATTGCACTTGACTCCAGGTAAGCTTTTCTTGAGAAGTCAGAATCGGTCTTATTTTATGAAGCAATTTTAGCCATCTTAGCTGTTATAGGTTTCTAGCCATTAGGAAGCCGATATAGCTAGATCATTGCAATTATTTATCTGATAACCTTATGCTCGCAAGCAATGCTCGTGAATTAACGCATTTTACAATCCTTCCATGTATTGACCCAAAATGTTTCGTACAGTTCTTGAGACTTTTTTGTAGGGTGACACAATGTTTTAAGACGTCAAATGGGAATTTTTTTTATTGCTCAGAGTCGCGTTCAGATTTGTTGCATCGACTAATACTTTCCAACATTTTGTCTGCGTTTGTCTTTGTTTGAAAAAACAACTTTTATCAAATTATTGCGAATTGAACATTGAGAAAGAATGTTCCCCACAAAAAATTATCCCGACTTGAAGTCGAAAATAAACTCATTACATTTCCAGAAAAAAAACATTACCTTTTTGTTCCGACTTTCGATACGAAAGTAACGGAATATTTGTGCTCGGGGTGGGTTTTTTTTTCTTCAGACAAATTTCGACTTTTTAACTAGCCATTTTTGACGATTTTTTTTATCATTCGAAAGGTATTGTTGTCTTCTTGAGCTCAAACTTGAAAAGATATTTCACCTGTGATCATTTTTCGTAAAGTTACGTGGGTTTAAAGATTGCCATTTTGGCCAAATTGGGACAATTAACGCGCGATATATTTCGCGCTATTAACGCGTAAGCAGAGATGTAATCCGTCTTAGAGATCGTTCCAAATTGGTTAAAAGAAGCTAATTTGCCATAATTTCTTTGTTACTAGGAGCGAAATCTATCCTTTGTACTTTATTTGGCGTATGGGGGGATGATTTTGATAAAAAAAACTTCAATTTTCAGAAATTTTTTTTTGTTTGTTTTATTTCATTGAATTTTTAAATGTTAGTACTGCTCCATAAACCTTAAAAGGCAGTCGGAACATTCAGGGCTTCGCCCTGATACGAGCAGTTTTGTTATTTATGAATTCAAAACTGTAGCAGAACTAAAAAAAAAAGACAACTTTGAATCATCTTTGTCAATCGATTAAGATAAAATTTGATGCATTGAAACTTGATCAAAATTGACACTTTATAATAACACAATACACCCCATGATATAACAAGACTGCTCGTATCAGGGCGAAGCCTTGAATGTTCCGACTGCTTTTTAAGTTTTATGGAGCAGTAATAAATTTTAAAAAAATTAAATGTAATTTAAAAAAATGAAATTTTTTTTTCTAAAATTTGATTTTTTTTTAAAAAGTCATCCCCCACACGTCATAATAAGTACTAAGAGAAAAATTTTGCTCCTATTAACAAATCAATTAAGGCGTATAAGCTTCCTTGAACCAATTTGGAACGATTTCTAAGACGCGTTAATAGCTCGAAATATATCGCGCGTTAATCGTCCCAAATTGGCCAAAATGGCAATCTTTAAACCCCCATAACTTTACGAAAAATGATCACAGGTGAAATATCTTTTCAAATTTAAGCTCAGGGCAACAATACCTTTCGAATGATATAAAAAAATTCTCTCAAAAATGTCTAGTTAAAAAGTCGAAATTTGTCTGAAGAAAAAAAAACCCACCCCGAGCACAAATATCCCGTTACTTTCGTATCGAAAGTTGGAACAATAAGGAAAGACAGTTATTGTGCAAAGGTCGACCACAGTCTTAATAAAATGATTCTTCAAGAGTAAAACAAAAAATAGGCAGAAATAAGCAATTGTAAGCGGCCATTTGAATATGTTATATTACTCGACCCATTCCCATGATTAGTTGTGGTACGTGATTTTGCGACGAAAAAAATAGCATGTACAAGTAAAACCCATGCTTCAGATGAAAACAGTCTGTGTTTTCGATTTGCACCGGCACTAGTTTTATGGAAACAGAAAACTTTCTTTTGTTTCGGACCATCGTCAAACTGTTTATTTTCGCCAGCTCAGTTCCCGTAGCACTGATATTTTTTAAGGAAAATTCAGCTCTTTTTGTAACACTTGAAATGTCATTTCTAATACCTCAATGATGCAAGTAATTGAATGCCGAGTTTTTTTGCGTTATTCTCAAGTTTTTCTCTAGGTTTTTGAAAACTCATATGGCGTATTAACCAAATTGCATTGTTTCTTTGTTGAATTTTTTGATCAAAAGGTTTTTAAAAATTCAATTTCTGGCTTCGTATTTTTCTTATTTCTCAATAGAAGCTAAATTAAAGCTGATTTCGAAGTTGTGTGCACGCTTATAGATATTTTTTTTTGCTCGCGCTGTTTTCTTGAACTATCGATCATGATTGTTTATTGGTTTGCGTCTGAAATTCAGTTTTTTACTTGTTTGTCCATTCCAATTTTAAAGCAGTTTTGGTGTTTTGGGTTTTCATAGCAAACAAAACAGGTTGATGATATTTTGTTAGTGTTTTTTTAAATATTTTGATATTGAAAACTTCATATTTTGCTGAAAATATAAACAAGAACTAAATATGATTTCAATTGCGCCGCCAACCATAAATAACAAAAAAGAAGATGGTTTTCAATTTTTAATTTGATTTTGGTTTTTCACTTTTCACTTCCTCGTATTTTTGAAAAATTTTAAATTCAAGGGTTTATTTTCGCTTTCCACATATTTGAAGCTTTTAGGAATCTTCTCTGCAAGTCTGACTTTGGAATATACCTAGCGCAGTTTTTCAGTATGATCGAAAAATATGATTTCATGACTAACCATTTTTTTTTGAGGAAAAAATCTTTCTTTCCTGTTTTCACTAGAAATTTTTTCCTCTAGTCAAATTAGTGAAACATTGTGCATTAAAACTTTTGACAACGAATGACTGTTCATGTTGATTATTTGTTTTCAGCTCAACCGTCAAAACAAAATAATATTTTACGCAGAGGCGAAGCTTCGCTTCGCAAACACTTGCAAGAACACGTCTCTATAAAAGCAGCTGCTCTATGAAGTGCAATAATGAAAATTAGAAAAAAACCTCGAATTTTTCGTCGGCAAAAATTCGTCTACCGCTGAAGTTCGCAATTGCGACCTAGAGATTAAGAGGCTCCCATACTAACCACTACGCCACGGACGCTTAATTTGTACCATTAACTACTCAGTCACAAATAAAGCAGAGGACAGATGATATGCATTTTCCAATGCTACAGTGAATTTTCCAAATAAGTGAGCACTTTTAATGGAAACTTTTTTACTGATTTAGGTTAGAAAAACAGAAAGTTCTTAATAACACACTATGCTGATCGCAAGTGTAAACGACTTTTTTCACTTTGATCATCCAACTTTTCATCGCAAGTGGTGCAAAGCTCAGCTTCGCCTCAGTGATCTAAACTCCAATTTTATGTAGACATCTGGAACCTTGAAATTACCAGGCTTGAAGCTTTAGAAAAACATGATTCTTTAAAATTTGTTTTGTGGATGCTAATTAAATGCAAACTACAGTATGCTTACTGTACCTTTTGCGCTTTCGTCCCAGTAACTTTTTTGCAGATTGTGGTATATGACAGCCTGGATGAAGTTGTTTAGAGAGCCGGCTTGGACTCTCTGGAATCTGTCCGCCGTCAACACATCCGCATTCGCATTCTCAATACACGCCGCCTTAATCGTTTCCACGTTACCTGGTAACATACACATAACATTTTAAATTATTTTTAAAAAATTATCGAAATTGCAGACAGCGAATCATGCGGGTCTTTTTTGCTTGCAATTGCTGATGAAAATAGTTAGAAACTTGTAGAATAAAAAATACTCGAGTTAAGGCGGCGACTGAAGATACGAGCGACGTGATGTAAATTCAATTCGAAACTCCGGCCCGATCAATTATTGGCAATTCAAGATAGTTGTAATCCAAAAATCAGTCGCAACCTCTTCGATTCAAGTATACGTTGCAACTGGCGCAACCAAAGGAGATATCGCAACTAAAATTTTCCGGATTCACAGCGGCTCGTTTGAACAAAAAACGGTGGTTCATGCGCGACAGAAAAAAACGTCGCGACCGGTGCGACTCAAAAAATCGTGAAATGAAAAAAAAATCAGTGCAACTAAAAAGTCTTTCCAATCAGCGCGATTCAAAAAACGCAACTGGTGCAACCAAAAGTCTGCAATTTGGGCTTTCGCAACTGATGAAATACGACGCGACTTACGAAAAAAGCTCGCCTCTTTTATAAAGATAATCAAAAATCGCGGCTGAAGTGGGAAACTTCGGTGGCGCCATTTACCTCGCCACTGCGGACCCCAATGTTTTTTTTCTTCTAAATTTAATGCAACAAAGCGCTTCGCTACTATTCTTCCTAAATGTTCAATCAAAATTTATAACGCGGAATTGCTTCTTTTGAAAGTAGGATTATGAAAAAGTTTGCACCTGATTTTAAAAGAAGAAGGATTGACTCAGTTGAAACGACTAAAATAAGACTTTGATGCGATTAAGCTAGTTTATAATGCAACTTTGATGCGTCTAAGCTACTTAATAATAAAAATTGACACACAAACTAATTATGCTGTCCCAATTTTTTTTGGTTTTCATACCTCCTCCACTCGTTACATCATAAAACTGATACTTATGCGAAGCGGGGAAAAAAGCGAACCTAAACTTTCAAGCTCAAGTACTGCATAAGCTTTCATCAAAAAAATGTTTTTTTAAGTCAACAAAAAGCTGACAAATTGAAAGAATTGAATGAAAAAACTAAGTCAAAAACCTTGATTAGCATGCATATTTTAGCCCAAACAACAGAGCAGGTTTAGGTTGCCAAAAAAGTTAAGTCAGAACCTCTAAAATGCCATAATTTAACTGTTCTGCAAACAAAGTTAATCAAATGAAAAACGTGGAAAAGTCGGGTAATTCTTTCCAATTCTCCTGTTAATGTTGGGAAGGGTAATTTGGTGTGTTTTTTTTTCGCCCAGTACAAATTTGACCAAGTGCAAAACTTGTGACAATTCTGTATACTTGATTTTAGTGTTTTCTATGTCTTTTCGCTTACCTATTTTGACAGCTCCTGTTGAGTCATACGTGTAGTTGGCTGCTGATATGAAGTAGTTGCCTCCACTGGTCGTAATGTAGAAGTATGACTCATCATCATTCCCATCGTCCTCTACCTAGACAGCACGAAAACTTCAGATCAGAATTAGGGAGAACGCCAAAATGGGCTGCATAAAAAAACCCTCAGTAATCTTTTTTCTAAACCTGGAAGAAATATGCACATTTTTCTAAGCGAATTAAACTTGGAAATCATTGATCATTATTTTTGCAAAAAAAAATAATGTCAAATACTTCGATGAGTACTTAGTTTTAAGTTTTGTATACTTCTTTTGTTTTTCTCCGAATCCCAGATAAGATTGAAATATATTTAATATTATTTTACCTCATTCAATTTTAGAATTCAACCTGATTAACCTCCACTTCCCCCAATTTTTTTTGAGTTTGAAGAAAATGGCCAAAAATAAATGCAAAAAAGGAAAAAGGATAGCCGGTTACTGTGCAAGTATGACAGAATGTTCCGACCGTAGTCTTAAAAAAATACAACAAAGTTTTTCAAATGATTGTCGTTTTTTTTCGGCGTGGCGTAAAGGAAAACTGAAGATTAGGTATATTTGACAGTCATAGTAGAATAAGCAAATTGAAAAACAATTTTTGCAGAAAAATCACTTGAAAAAAGAAAAAAATTTCTTTCAAGTTTTGCGTTTTTTTTTTTGAATTTTTGAAAATTTTACGTTACTCAAGAAGAACAAAGTTTTTACGTTTTGAATTAAGCTATTGTAAGCTTTAAGCAAATAAAATAAGACTGCTCGCTCGCTTTATTCGCTCTAAATAAGACGAAAAATCAAAAATTTCAAACCGGTGTTTCTCAACACTGGGAAATTGTTTGAAATCTTTTTTAATGTGGTTTGAATCACGACTGTAGATTTAAGGGCTTATATAAGGGCTTTATTATGAGTATCTGATTTTGTGTGGAAAAAATAAAAAAAAAGAAAACACCCGAATACAACGTTCCTCCCCATTTTCAATGGTCGGAACAATGATTTATGATAACTTGTAATGCTCACAGTAAAATCGATTGCTTCATCCATTTCGTATGTGATTGGCGTCCCTACTCCTACATCAGTTGATGCTTGTACCCCCAGTTTGAACTCCCCGTTGAAGTGCGACTGGAACCCTTCCAAAACTAGACTGATCACACACTTTGAGAATTCGTTCACGGGTGTTTTGATTATGTATGCTGCGTGATCATACTGCTGCATGAACTCGGCTCCTTTCGTTTCATTTCCGTCCAGATACACTGTGACGTCTGCAAAAAAGCAGAAATTTTTTCTGCAGCTTCGATTTGTTTCTATCTGATTCTATATAAGACTTTTGAGATCTCAAAAAAATTAGTGGATGATAGAATAGAAAATTAGGAAATAGAATAGAAAGCAACTCGTAAATCAAAAATTTAACTGCTAAAAACAAAAGCTGAGAAAAAAATCAGAAAACAAAAATCACAAAATGAGCATTTTTAGAAATCATGTCCTTCAATGACAATTTTGAAAGTGTTTGATTTCAAAAAAAAAAATTTATAAAAAAAACATTTAAGAAACATCACTTACATCTAATCTAGCTCAACATGAACGTTTTCAGTATTCAAAAAAATAGTAGAAAAAACTGAAACAAAATTAAGCCAGCACATGTTTCTATCTGATTCTATATAAGACTTTTGAGATCTCAAAAAAATTAGTGGATGATCAAATTTGAAAAACTATTAAAAAAATATTTGTTTTTGTTTGTTTATCAATTAGTAGCAAAAACCAACGATTATAATATATCAAGAGAATATCACAGAGGCGGTTAAGCAAGTCGAGTGATGTCTAATTATGGAAAAATAATTAGAAAAATATCTGTTTAATCTCAATTTAGACTTCGCAATCTGACATAATTTTGAACCAGAAATTTTCATTGAATGTCAAGTTATCAATTATATAATTCTCTGCACAGAAAAACTTTGTCCATAAAAAAAGTCAATTTGTTACGAGCAATGTTCATCAGTGATGTTATACATATTTGGTCAATTTCTTGGTTAAATATCCACATGACTTTTGCCCTATTTTTCAAATTTGATTTTCTTTTTTTCTTGCAATTTGATTGTTTTTAAAATTGAAATAAGACTGCTCATATCAGGGCGAAGCCCTGAATGTTCCGACTGCCTTTTAAGGTTTATGTAACAGTAATAACATAAAAAAATTAAATGTAACAAAATGAAATTTTTTTCTTCTAAAATTTAAAATTTTTTATGAAAATCATACCCCTCACGCCGTATAAAGTACAATAGAATTGATTTCGCTCCTTGTAACAAATCAAATTTGGCGAATAAGCTTCTTTCAACCAATTTGTAACGATTTCTCAGAAGGATTAAATCTCCGCTTACGCGTTAATAGCGCGAAATATATCGCGCGTTAATTGTCCCAAATTGACCAAAATGGCAATCTTTAAACCCCCATAACTTTACAAAAAATGATCACAGGTGAAATATTTTTTCAAATTTAAGCTCAGGACAACAATACATTTTGAATGATATAAAAAAACCGTCAAAAATGGCTAGTTAAAAAGTCGAAGTTTGTCTGAAGAAAAAAAACCCACCCCGAGCACAAATATTCCGTTACTTTCGTATTTAAAAGTCGGAACAAAAAAGAAGACAATGTGAATTGTCAAAAACGCAGCATGAAAAAAATGTCTGCACAAAACTTTTGACTAACCGACCTTTCGTAATTCTTATTCTTATAAAACAACAAATAAAGCCAAATATTGGGAAAATCCTCCTCAAAAGACTACCTCCTCAAAAAGCAATATTTCAAAAAATCCAATCAAAAACTGATAACTGTTCCCTCTATTGTACTTAGTAACGCTCCTATGCAGAAGAAACTTTTTGAACTTCAAGTTTTTTTTATACCTTGAGGTCTAAGAAACAAAGTAAGCCCAAAGTAAGAACAAGGGTAGTCGGTTGCTGCTCAAGTAGCACACAATGTTCCGACCATAATTTTTGGTAAAATACGGTTTAGAAAGATTTTTTCCAAACTAGTGTAGTTTTTCTGCTTGGTGGGATAAAAAGATCTGACGTAAAAAATAGTTAAGGCCTATTAGAGTGTAATAGTAATTTAGGGAAATTGGACAAAAATTTTTGTAAAAAAATGATTGACGAAACTAAAAAATATATTTAAAAAAAAAGAATTTTTTTTTCAAAACTTTTTGCAGAAATTTTTTTATTTAAAAAAAATTTGGTACACAAAGTGAAGATAAAAATCTCCAAAAACAAGTTTTACTTGCTTAAAATAAGTTTTAATGTTTTAAACTAGGCATAATTCAAATGTTGTAGGTCTACTCGCTTGCTTCATTTGGTCGAATTAAGACAAAAATTTTTTTAAAAAATCAAACCGGTTTTTCTCGACACTGGGAAATTTTTTGGGAATCTTTTGAATGTGGTTCGAAACTCGGCTTTCTTTAACATGATATATCACTCAATTCAGTCCGATCATTATTTGTGGTGCCTGATTTTGCGTGGGAAACAAAAGCAAAAAAAAAACTTAAACACACCCAAATACAAAGTTCCTCTCCATTTTCAATGGTCAAAACAAAAAAGAATAAATCGGTAATTTTGTTATACAGCTGGAAGTTTTGAAGAGCAAGCTAAACTTTAAAACTAAAAGTAGATTGCGTGATCTACTTCTATTTGCCAACTCTTGTCATCGGATTGCTCACTTTAATTGTCATTTAGAAACTGATGTAGAAGCCTAAGTTATAAAAAAATTATAACCAAATCAACAAAAAAGCTACGCCAAAAGGAATGAAAATGACAAAATAACACGAATTCTATTAATCAAAATTTCTGGTGTTTATTGACATTTAAAAAACATGTTAATGCAGAGTTTTTTCGTAGAATGAATTTTTTCTCAAATATCCGATTCAACATTGGTGCTTTAACCATTCAAAATAAATTTGTCAACTCACCATTCAAAGTAGGAAAAAACGTCACGCAAAAAATTAAAAAAAAAATTCCGAAGAACTATAATTTCGAAACACAATTATCTCGAAAAAGAAAAGGATCTTATCAAGTTTTTCCTTGTTGTAATAAAAACATAAAATTTTTATAAAATTATCAAGATACCTTTATAATAAAAATTTTCTATCAAAAACAATCTCAAACCTTATGAGCAAAGTCTTGCATAAAGTAAAAAAATTCTTTACAAAAAATAGATTATTAGAGGCTACACAGAACTATTTAAATAAAATAAAATCCAGAAAACAAAAATGATGATCATATTGTTTGTTGGCCGTATGATTTCTAATGATTTACTTTTTGTTTCAAGATTCCCCTTATGGCGATTTTTAACAAGATCGCACAATGGTTTCATTAACCTGTATCCAACGCAATTCAGGACAAGTTCTTTGAATTTTTAAATGTTTTATGATTAGTTTTTCATGATTAAAAATAAAATTAAACCAACCTGATAAAACCGAAACTAAAGTTAGGTGAGTATTTTGAAGGGAATCTAAAGCATCAATGCGACAAGTCGGGTGCATTATCCTCTCCAGTTGCACTTCTCTACTCATTTTTATTGAAGCGCGCAAATTGCATTTCATTTAGGAAATAGAATAGAAAGCAACTCGTAAATCAAAAATTTAACTGCTAAAAACAAAAGCTGAGAAAAAAAATCAGAAAACAAAAATTACAAAATGAGTATTTTTAGAAATCATGTCCTTCAATGACAATTTTGAAAGTGTTTGATTTCAAAAAAAAAAATTTATAAAAAAAACATTTAAGAAACATCACTTACATCTAATCTAGCTCAACATGAACGTTTTCAGTATTCAAAAAAATAGTAGAAAAAACTGAAACAAAATTAAGCCAGCACATGTTTCTATCTGATTCTATATAAGACTTTTGAGATCTCAAAAAAATTAGTGGATGATCAAATTTGAAAAACTATTAAAAAAATATTTGTTTTTGTTTGTTTATCAATTAGTAGCAAAAACCAACGATTATAATATATCAAGAGAATATCACAGAGGCGGTTAAGCAAGTCGAGTGATGTCTAATTATGGAAAAATAATTAGAAAAATATCTGTTTAATCTCAATTTAGAATTCGCAATCTGACATAATTTTGAACCAGAAATTTTCATTGAATGTCAAGTTATCAATTATATAATTCTCTGCACAGAAAAACTTTGTCCATAAAAAAAGTCAATTTGTTACGAGCAATGTTCATCAGTGATGTTATACATATTTGGTCAATTTCTTGGTTAAATATCCACATGACTTTTGCCCTATTTTTCAAATTTGATTTTCTTTTTTTCTTGCAATTTGATTGTTTTTAAAATTGAAATAAGACTGCTCATATCAGGGCGAAGCCCTGAATGTTCCGACTGCCTTTTAAGGTTTATGTAACAGTAATAACATAAAAAAATTAAATGTAACAAAATGAAATTTTTTTCTTCTAAAATTTAAAATTTTTTATGAAAATCATACCCCTCACGCCGTATAAAGTACAATAGAATTGATTTCGCTCCTTGTAACAAATCAAATTTGGCGAATAAGCTTCTTTCAACCAATTTGTAACGATTTCTCAGAAGGATTAAATCTCCGCTTACGCGTTAATAGCGCGAAATATATCGCGCGTTAATTGTCCCAAATTGACCAAAATGGCAATCTTTAAACCCCCATAACTTTACAAAAAATGATCACAGGTGAAATATTTTTTCAAATTTAAGCTCAGGACAACAATACATTTTGAATGATATAAAAAAACCGTCAAAAATGGCTAGTTAAAAAGTCGAAGTTTGTCTGAAGAAAAAAAACCCACCCCGAGCACAAATATTCCGTTACTTTCGTATTTAAAAGTCGGAACAAAAAAGAAGACAATGTGAATTGTCAAAAACGCAGCATGAAAAAAATGTCTGCACAAAACTTTTGACTAACCGACCTTTCGTAATTCTTATTCTTATAAAACAACAAATAAAGCCAAATATTGGGAAAATCCTCCTCAAAAGACTACCTCCTCAAAAAGCAATATTTCAAAAAATCCAATCAAAAACTGATAACTGTTCCCTCTATTGTACTTAGTAACGCTCCTATGCAGAAGAAACTTTTTGAACTTCAAGTTTTTTTTATACCTTGAGGTCTAAGAAACAAAGTAAGCCCAAAGTAAGAACAAGGGTAGTCGGTTGCTGCTCAAGTAGCACACAATGTTCCGACCATAATTTTTGGTAAAATACGGTTTAGAAAGATTTTTTCCAAACTAGTGTAGTTTTTCTGCTTGGTGGGATAAAAAGATCTGACGTAAAAAATAGTTAAGGCCTATTAGAGTGTAATAGTAATTTAGGGAAATTGGACAAAAATTTTTGTAAAAAAATGATTGACGAAACTAAAAAATATATTAAAAAAAGAATTTTTTTTTCAAAACTTTTTGCAGAAATTTTTTTATTTAAAAAAAATTTGGTACACAAAGTGAAGATAAAAATCTCCAAAAACAAGTTTTACTTGCTTAAAATAAGTTTTAATGTTTTAAACTAGGCATAATTCAAATGTTGTAGGTCTACTCGCTTGCTTCATTTGGTCGAATTAAGACAAAAAATTTTTAAAAAAATCAAACCGGTTTTTCTCGACACTGGGAAATTTTTTGGGAATCTTTTGAATGTGGTTCGAAACTCGGCTTTCTTTAACATGATATATCACTCAATTCAGTCCGATCATTATTTGTGGTGCCTGATTTTGCGTGGGAAACAAAAGCAAAAAAAAAACTTAAACACACCCAAATACAAAGTTCCTCTCCATTTTCAATGGTCAAAACAAAAAAGAATAAATCGGTAATTTTGTTATACAGCTGGAAGTTTTGAAGAGCAAGCTAAACTTTAAAACTAAAAGTAGATTGCGTGATCTACTTCTATTTGCCAACTCTTGTCATCGGATTGCTCACTTTAATTGTCATTTAGAAACTGATGTAGAAGCCTAAGTTATAAAAAAATTATAACCAAATCAACAAAAAAGCTACGCCAAAAGGAATGAAAATGACAAAATAACACGAATTCTATTAATCAAAATTTCTGGTGTTTTTTGACATTTAAAAAACATGTTAATGCAGAGTTTTTTCGTAGAATGAATTTTTTCTCAAATATCCGATTCAACATTGGTGCTTTAACCATTCAAAATAAATTTGTCAACTCACCATTCAAAGTAGGAAAAAACGTCACGCAAAAAATTAAAAAAAAAATTCCGAAGAACTATAATTTCGAAACACAATTATCTCGAAAAAGAAAAGGATCTTATCAAGTTTTTCCTTGTTGTAATAAAAACATAAAATTTTTATAAAATTATCAAGATACCTTTATAATAAAAATTTTCTATCAAAAGCAATCTCAAACCTTATGAGCAAAGTCTTGCATAAAGTAAAAAAATTCTTTACAAAAAATAGATTATTAGAGGCTACACAGAACTATTTAAATAAAATAAAATCCAGAAAACAAAAATGATGATCATATTGTTTGTTGGCCGTATGATTTCTAATGATTTACTTTTTGTTTCAAGATTCCCCTTATGGCGATTTTTAACAAGATCGCACAATGGTTTTATTAACCTGTATCCAACGCAATTCAGGACAAGTTCTTTGAATTTTTAAATGTTTTATGATTAGTTTTTCATGATTAAAAATAAAATTAAACCAACATGATAAAACCGAAACTAAAGTTAGGTGAGTATTTTGAAGGGAATCTAAAGCATCAATGCGACAAGTCGGGTGCATTATCCTCTCCAGTTGCACTTCTCTACTCATTTTTATTGAAGCGCGCAAATTGCATTTCATTTAGGAAATAGAATAGAAAGCAACTCGTAAATCAAAAATTTAACTGCTAAAAACAAAAGCTGAGAAAAAAAATCAGAAAACAAAAATCACAAAAAATGAGCATTTTTAGAAATCATGTCCTTCAATGACAATTTTGAAAGTGTTTGATTTCAAAAAAAAAAATTTATAAAAAAAAACATTTAAGAAACATCACTTACATCTAATCTAGCTCAACATGAACGTTTTCAGTATTCAAAAAAATAGTAGAAAAAACTGAAACAAAATTAAGCCAGCACACTTGAATTTAACATAATTTTAATTTAAAAACTCAAGCAAAGCAAAATTTGAACTCTTGCTATACAACAAAAATAGCATAGCAAGCTGACAGACAGGAAAGATAAAAAAAGCCACTACATACAAAGAAAACGGAAAAATTTTCGAAGAAAGTACAACTAGAAAACTTCAAAATATTGGCTGGAAAGGTGTTCTAATTGCAGAAAACCGGTCCACAAGCAGATTCAACCGCGTTCACTGAGAATTCAAGAACAATTTTAGGGCGAAAAAAAAATGTTGTCACGAAAAACTTTGAACTTGGAAATCTATTTTAAGATTTTTAACATTTTGTGCAAATCGGTGGCAAACATACAAATTATGGTTCCCTAGTACGACGAAAAAAAGTCGCTAGGCCGATAAAAAAGGAAACCGAAAAAATTTTCAAGCAAAATAATCAAGAAAAGAAAATATACGAAGTCAAGGCTAGTAGAATTACAAATTGCAGGTGTACATGAAAACAGAGAGAAGCAACTACAAAGCAAACACAATCAGCATCTACAATAAAACTGCAATAAACAAAAAAACTCTGATGTGGCAACTGGCCGAGAAAAAAATCCCATAAAAAAAGGAGATTTTTTTTTGAAAAAGAAAAATTCTTGCTTGAAAAACAAGCAAATCCTGGTCAGATTCGAACTCAGGAAGTTTTCCGTCCCAGGTACATGCGTTATCTCCTTTCTAAGTGTGCCAGAGAAGATTAGAAAATCAAAATCATATCAACCAAGAGACCAAGTGATTTTGTTAAACGTAAACAAAGATAAGCGACTGCTGTCCCAGTAGCACAGAAAGTTTTTTTAAATAGTAGCGTTTGTTTGACTGTGGTGTGATAGAAGGATCTGAATCCAAAACTAGATTTTCAGCAAATTCAATCGTCATAGTAAATTAGGTACATTCGACAACAGTTGTTTCCTCAAAAATTGAGTACAAAAACAACAAAAATCAATAAAGTTCGAAAAAAAAGAAACATTTTGAAAAACTTCTTTAAAATTTTGCGCTTAAAGCTAAGGCTCTAAAAAGGTTCACAAAAATTAGCTGGATAAAAATATTACTTTTTTTGGCTTTTATAGACTTGTCTTCCGGTTGAAAGCCTGTAATTGTTGACCGAGATTAAATCTGAGATCAAAAACTTGAAAAGGAACTGAAATCATCGAAGCGAAGAATCCTTTTCAGCCGAATTCAGTTCTTTTTGGGAAAACTGTGCGATAAAATTTTCGCTATTAGAACCTTGTGTAATGAGAACAAATCGAAAGAATTGAAGGATTGGCATGTGATGAACGCTATCATTATGGGAGACACTAACAATCTTTACAATAAAACAGGTGCTAGATTAATGGGCGCGGTAGAAACATCTGATGAAATATTCTATCTGGTTCAAAAGCTAGAGTCTGAGGGTTTCAAGGTCGGAATCATGAAATTTATTGGACGACAAGGAAAAGCAAGACCATCCGATGATTAAACCAATGTCATGTTGATGTCCCTAAAGAGTTTAATGATCCAATATTTGATCATAAAAGCAACCGATACAGGTACCAGACTTCGAAGGATGAGTTAAATCTAAACACATCGGATATCTGAGAGCTGGCCCTCGATTTTCGAAAGCTTTTTTAACACACGAAAAGCAGATTATGGGGAGAAAAGAGAAGTTCAGTTGATGCCAAAAATTGTTCGGATTTTGTTCGTTTTCTTTGTTTGGATTTTATTTTGACTCTATTTAAGGTTGTATTCGAGTGAATTCCGAATTTTAACTTCATCAGATTTATGGTTGCATACGTAAAAAAGGAGAGTGATCAACTTTCGTATTTTGACCACTGAACTGTGAAAAGGTTCGGGATTGTGGATTGATAGTGGATACTGGACTTTATAAGCCAAATAGCCCGGTTGAGGATTGAAGCAACACCGCTAAGTCCCAAGAGAGTTGGATAAACCAGACGGTCATCATCATCATGGCAGTTTTTTTGCAATAAAATTTATTGCAATTTTTATGAGAGAAATTTTTTTAAAACATTTTATTCGAATCACAACTAAAATGGCTTGAAGATGATACACAACTCGTTTCATTCCGATGATTGCTTGTGGTACCGGATTTTGCCTGGAAAAAATTGGGTTGCCTTTAAACCTTAAGTTACGAAAAAAAAACTTTAAATCCAATGAACAAACCGATCTTATTAGCTATTCCCCCTTTGGTAAATGGCCACGATATTCCACCCCTATCCAGAAAAAATTCCAGAAAACAAACCATATCTTGTTAACTATTCCCCCTACAAAACATAGGTACGAGTTTCCATCTCCATCCATATTTTCTAACTTCAACCCCGCAATAATTTCACTTGGGTTGAACTCAAATGTTTTTTTTAAAGGATCCCTAACATCTATTTAATGCAGACTAGCCTGCTTGTTCACAGTTCTGTAAGAAAGTACTGTGAAGAAACTCCACGTCTATCCTGGCTTGGTATCCATGACAAGCCGCCGAGTGGAACAGGCCAGTGATGAGGTCAGAATTAGCTGCAGGTGTGACCACTTCAGTTCCAAAGACAAGGAAGGAAACCTATGGAAGGAATTGCACCCTTATGGTGTTTTTTGCAGCCTTATGGTGTACCTTCGAATCAGCGAAGGAAAAATGTACATTTATTATAAATAAGTGTTGTAATGTGATTGATTCGTTAAAGAATTTATTATTTTTTCATCATCTTTTTAATTAAGTTCTTCATCTACGAGGAAGAGGGTTACGAATGCACTCAACTCCTTAACAAGTTCAAAGAAATTTCAGCCCAGCGGCTGTTCGCTCATTATTGTTGTCTTCGGTTGACTACAGTTATCTTTCCAAATTCCATAATCGCAAGGGCTATTTATAACAACGAAAATAAAATTTTTATTTTTTCATTTTGTTTTTTGTACTGGAAAATTTTATATGCAGCTTTAAAAACTTTTTTTTTACAGTTGAAAATATAGCGTGAATAGCTTAGTTATGTACTTTTCGACATATATTTTTGCTTATTCGCTGTAAATTGAACTAAAAATCAAAATTTTTAAACTGGTTTTCTGCCAGAGAACCTTTTGTGCATTTTATGCATTTTCTACCATTTGTGCGTATCACAGTCCATGTTGTATATAACTCAAGAACATATCAATTTCTGTTTTGACTTTTTAATTTTTTTTCTCGCTGTAAAATCCAAAAATTGGTTTTTTGTAGCAGTGAGTTTCCAAAAAGATGTGATAAATGTATATGCGATTATTCCTAATTATTATCTAGGACTATCTAGCTTCACTTCTACCTTGATCGTAGAGTTGTTGGGTGCAGAGGGAAAGAAGCGGACATAGCGGGCTTGAGTGTTGCCGTCTGTGTTGTAGTTGTTGCCACAATTCTCCACAATGTCCCATATTTCTCCCAGCTTGAAAAATTGAGAAACATCAAACCACATTGTGAAACTCTTAACGCGTTTTAAATAAATCGACAACCAAACCACTAAAATCGAACTTTTAGCTGTTTTTATGAACAAGAAAAACACAACCAAGATTATGAAATTCCTACTAGTCAATGACTCATTAACTTTAGAAATCGATTAGATAAGGATCTCCATTCGTGCTATATTCATTCCAAAAACCCATTTATTATAACTAACCTATTACCCGTAACAACTTTGACATAAAGTTATAGGTACTGCGGATTAGAACTCACTCACGCTTGAAAAATCGTATAGTCAACCCAAAAAACTGTTCCTACATTAAACTAAGTCAAATTAGAAGAGTCAAAAACAATCATACAATACTGAATTCGCAAGCCACATCTTCCATCGTCGGAAAATCCTGTACACTTCTTTTGTGCACACTCGAGATCTGGAACACTGTCCGGAGGTCTATCTGGAGGAAGTCAGCCTCCACGTAGTTGTGGGCTATCCATATAAACGGCATCTCGTCTTCCAGAAGAGCATCACTGGCTGCGGTTGCAACTGGGGGTGTCAATGCGTTGTAAGTGTCCAGAGTTACATTGAGCGTACAGCATTGGAGGGATGTTGTTACGATTGCCTCGACGAATGAAGCATCATAGTACACTTTGTGGATTAGGTCTATTGTTGTTGACCCAGCATTATTGGATGAAGCCAAAACTAATAGCGAAAGAAAACATACATACAAAAATATGTTCGGCAACAACATTGGTATAAACTTTTCTCGATAAGTCATACTGGTTTTGAAGAACAAAAATATTACAATACGGCAGTCATAATCGTTAGAAAAATAAATTGGAGGATTTGATTGAAATTTGATCAAATTTTATCCGAAATCAGAAATAAATACAGCTTGGCAACTATTTCAATTTTACTCCCATATTTCAGTAACAAACTCAAATGCGCTTTAATTTCAATATGTTCAATGGCGAGAAGCTAAAATAGTCCAGGTGATCAAATTTAATTTTAATTATGTTCACTAGCCTGTAGTTTCAATGCACAGGTGGTCTCGAGTGTGGAATTTCATCAAAATAGACAAAAAACTAAATGCAATATCTTTGTTTCGCACAATCAGAAGTAGAAGATCAGAAACCATTTCAGTATGAGAGTAGGAAAAACAGAAATATATTCAATGCGTCGCCAATATCTTGGTTGGAATGACAATTCAAGCGCTTAAACTGGTGTTGTCTCGAGCCGATATGATTTCTTCAATCTAAAAGACTCTAACAGATTTAAAAGACTTTTTAAACTCAACTTATGGCGACTGTTTTCTTACACGTGTTCCCGAATACCATTCTGAGAGTATTAAAATATGATTGATTGAGAGCTGCAAAGAACTCAGGCTGATTAGCTTAGGTCATATATATGATTGGATGCTGAAACTTATCATGATGATATTTGGAAAATATTTACAAGACAAGTGACGATGGTGAACATTGTTCAAGGGCCAATAGAAATTATAGGCCAGACAATTGCTTCCTAACAATCCTGGTTTATCTCTGAAAAAAATTACATTCATGATAGCTTTTCATCACAAAATTTCAACAGATAATCTGAACTTCGCATACACGCGAAATAAAAGCCTCTAACATTTTAAGAAAAGGTTAAGAAGAAATGAAAAATAAGATGTACATAAGTTTTACATATGCGAGCAGCCCATCTGAAAGTCACCAATTGCGGATGTTCCACAAATCTTCATCTCTACACAACGCCATATCTTGAAGCCGAAATTACATCAGAATTGCGTAAGATAATAGCAGAAAAAAGACGATTGCCTCAATTGCGCCACTGTGTTGCGAGCTGGCCAACAGAGGGTAGGAGAGAATCTTTAGTATCATCACAGATAACATATAGTGCAGTTTTCTTACAGAATTTACAAAGTTCACTATTGAACAGAATAAATACGCAAATAAACAGGGGAATCAAAGTTTTTTTTTTTACGTAGAAAGTTTGTATCGATTGATTTAGAGCGGGTGATTTAGTGCCAAAAAAAGCAAAATCACTGAATCCAGCAGAGCTATTGATAACGAAAATTAGTCTACTGAAAGCTTTCGATTGCTTCAGAAAAAATTGAAACAAATTTAACGAAATAATTAAGCCATACCTTCTTCAGAATCAGTACCAATGTACAGATTACTCGGAGGGTTCAGAAATTACTTCTGCTAATATTTTTTACTAAGCTACATAATTAATAGTTAAATACGTGCAGTTTAGTTTATATAGAGGTTATTGAAAATAACAGTTTTTGCTGGAAAAAATTCATTACAAAATATAGAGCCAAACATGCGGCGACCTCAAGAAAGCGGGTTCGAAGACAAACCTTTTCATTTTTTGCAACTTTACAGACCGCTGACTTTAATACTGAGAGCCGCTCAGGACAGCCTGCTAATCACACTAATACAGTCTATTACTGTATTACTGAACACTGCACGGAAAATTGTTTTTAGCAAAAATATGTTCTCATAAAAAATCCCATTGAACTTGGAAGCAAATCTTGTAAATTTTCTTTCATGCAATCTTGAAAAAATTGCAGAAATTATGCTAAATTGTTGCAATGTTTGCATTCCGCTTTTAAATTAACCAAAAAACTTTCTATCATTTTTGTTATTCTTGGTGTAAATATCTTTGATTATATTTTTTCACAGCCAGATGCTAAAATATTTGATATCCTATACGTTAATAAATATTCTCGAATTTGTTAAAAGTTTTCATTTCGGCCCATTTCCAGCTTGTTGTGACAGATACTAAAAAAATTTTTTTTATAAAAGGTAATGCTTCTCTCAAAAGCATTTTTAGCTTTAATGGCTAGACCTAGGTTTTCTCAAACTACAATTGTTTTAATTCAATTCAGTTTTGAGCCAGCACCTTTTTTCGTGCCAAAAAACTTTCGTGTTAAATTTGACTACTTTTTTCGTCAATTACAAAAAACAGTGTCTCCCATCATTATAACCCTTGCGGTAAAAAACT